TTGTTGCAACCTATGCAGAGCCAGCCACATTTGTCGACATTAAACTGGAGTTGCCAGGTGTCACACCATCTGTCCATTTTTTCTAATTCTTGCTGTATGGCGTTTACTGTTATTCCGAGATCTGTGTTCTTGCATTTATAGGTCACTTTTAAGTCATCTGCATATAGTATTGGTTTACCAACACTAAAGCATTCACAGATACTGTTTATATATATTATGAATAGGAGTGGGCCTAATACACTTCCCTGGATTACACCACTACTTACTGGTTTAGGCCTTGAGATTATCGAGCCAACTTTTGTTATCTGACTTCTGTCACAGAGAAATGATTTTATCCAGCTCAGGAGAGGGTCACATATCCCTAGTGAGCATAACCTGCTGACTAGCAGATTATGGGGGACTCTATCGAAGGCTTTTGTTATATCGAAATATAGCACAATTACTAGTTCTCTGTTGTCCCTGCTTCGTGTAACTTCATTGAAAAAGTCTATGTGACAGGTCGCACATGATCTCTTTTTGAGGAATCCGTGTTGTGATGGGTTGATAAGTTCATGTTCTAGTAAGTTGTCTGACACTTGGTCTTTAACCACTTTCTCCATTATTCGTGATATTACCGGTGTTATATTAATAGGTCTATAGTTGCATGCACTGGTTTTGGCCCCTGCTTTGTGCTTAGGTAATATGTATGTGGTTTTCCACACTTCAGGATAAGTTCCAGTTTCCAGTGACAGAGTAAATATTCTAAGTAACAAGACTACCATTTCCGTGCTACCATTTTTGTATATGACAGATGGTATGTCGTCTGTTCCAGTACTGCCATTTGACTTCAATGTCTTAATCGCTGAGTCTATATTTTGTATATTAAAATCTATTTCTCCTAATTTGTGGTTACTTTTGCAGGTCATTTGGAAATTTGGGGTCGGGTGCACTCTGGTGTCATTGCAAAACCACTCACTGAGGAGTTCACTTATTACCTGGGGATCGTTGTATATTACACCCCTATGTTCCAAGATGCTTACATTATTGTCTTTACTGCTTTTTAGACGTTTTTGCAATATCCTACAAAGTTCCTGAGTTTTGGTGTTACCCATTAGCGCTTTATTTTCCTCATGTTGTGACTTCATTTTGTGTTTCTCTTCAAGCAGTTTAAGAGTTTCATGTATTTGGTTTAACGCATTAAATTCCTTAAATACATGGTATTTCCTTTTCAATTTCTTTAGTTTTAGTCGCGTTTTCCGGTCAATAAATGGAGTTGGTGTCTTTAGGGCAGATTTTAGGGGCGCGATTGTGTCTCTTGCTGAGCCAACTGTTTTGTAGAAAATCTCAAGTGATACTTCTAAGTTATTGTTGATGAAGTATTCTTCCCAGTCAGAACTTCTCAACAGATCTGATAGGAATTCCCAATCAGCATTCTTATAGTCCCTATATTGATAGCGCACCGGGGAATTTTTAGGTGTGTATTTAGTTGTTAGTCGGAAGGGGAGCGTGCAGTACAATATGTTGTGATCACTGTTATCGAGTTTATTTCCCACCTCTATCGAGATGGGCTCTATGTTATGACAGAGGATTAAGTCAAGAGTATTTTGGTTCCTTGTAGGGAGGCGCGCGCACTGCTTCCATCCTCCTATGTCTATAGCTTGTAGTAGCTCTTCATGGATTCTTGGTCCTGTACAGGTATCCCAGTTTACTCCAGGTAAGTTGAAATCTCCACATACTACTTTGTAGTCGAAGTCCAGCGTGGCTACATGCTCTAGTATTTCTGCAATAGTTATATCAGTCATTTCAGGGCTATTGGGGGGTCTGTATATACATCCCACGAGAATTTTACTTTCGTTTGTGTGGATGCTTATCCACTTAGATTCTGGGAGTTTGTCAGTATTTGGGTTATTGAAAGTATTGGAGTTAGTGGATTTATAGGCATATATTAAGCAACCGCCTCCTCTTTTGTCAACTCTATCGTTCCTATAGATGTCGTAGTTGTCTATTACCAGCTTTGTGTCAGGTATATCAGTAGTAAGCCAGGTTTCAGTCACCATTATTAGTGTTGGCCGTTCTATGTATGCCAGGCAGCGAAGCGTTGTTATTTTATTAAGGAGAGATCTAGCATTCAGGAGCATAATTGTTAGTAAACCAGAGTTATTGGAGGAGAGGTTAACATGGTTACTTGTCACTATCCCTACGTTATGTTTGGAGGGGCTCTGAGGTGAGACAGAGTCAGTGTGTGTACTATTTCCTGGATGAACTGTGCAGCGAGTGGGGCTATTGTTTGCTGCAGCCGAAAATAATCCTGTTGCATATTTTGACTATTAGCATCCATGGGTCGGCATCTGCGTTCATCTACTGGTGATATATGGTCTGCCCTGCAATTTGGGTTGTAGTTTGCTGGACCTAGGTACCCTGTGTTAAGATTACCCTGGTAGTTGTACCTCATGGGGCTTTCATAGCCGTATGCATATTGGCTCACGTCACGTGCGTGAGTGAAGTTATTGAGGGGATCAAGTGTCGACCTGTTCTCATTATGTTGATGAGGTTTAACATATATAGTGCGAGAGTTTGGACGAGAATTTTCGTTAATATGGTGCCTATATGAGTCCCGTTTAGTGCTCCATATATCCTGAGGATCCATTCTACGTTGCATTCCCAAGTTATGTGCGTTGTTAGGCATGTTACTTCTAGTTCGGGAAGGGGTATTCCTTCTCACATGCTGCGTGACGTCTTTGGGAATGTGCTTCGTTACCCATGCTTTGTCATTTTTTAGACTGACACGCTGCTTATTAGACTTATTACGAGGGAGGTATGTCGAAGTCTGGGGTGGGACTCTGGGTTTTGTGGTCTTTTTTGCGGTTTCTACTGAGGGACTCTCTGGCTTGGATCCAGATTGAGTGTGGTCTGCCAGTAGTTTCTGGTCAGCCATAGTTTGTGCGTCTATGTCAACCTCATGTAGGTCAGCAGGTTTTCGAGATGTGCTCTCGTGCACTCTAAGACTGCACCCAGTGGCACTGCTCTTACTGAGTTTTGGGTCGCTCTTACTTGCCGTTTTTTCTCCTAACACTATACACGTGACTTGCTGTGCCTCAGTGTCCGTCGACACTTTAGCACTGATACCAGATGTATTTCTCAGTGTTGTCAACTTTGTGTCGAAGGAGTTCTTGGTTGCTTGCCTTTGGTTTGGTGTTTTATCCGAGACTACTTTAATAGTCTTGAATTTAGTGGCAGTAGCCAGAAGATCTTCGGCCATCTTAAATCGTTCAGCTGTTATGTAGCTGTCGAACCTAAAGAGTATAGGACAAGGATGCTTTAGGTCTTTTTTGCTTAGGCGAATGCACTGACAAGGTGCATTCAAGAGATTTGCAGCCTTCAGCAATGAGTGCTGGACTGACTTTATGGGCTCGCTATCCGGTACATTATACACTATTGCGTTTTGTTTTGAAGCCAGCCTTTTAACAACTTCGCTGGATAGAAAGTCGATGGCGTTTTCTAACTCCTTCGCACTTTCTGAGTCAGTATGAGTCATTCTAGAGGTCATATTAAAAAGCTTTAGGATTGTAGGATCCTGCAGTTCCTTTTTCATACGTGAGATAGTTTCGGGTATACATTCTAGTGAACTTAATTTCGTTTTTAATTCATCTATCTGTAGCTGCATCTCTTTAATTACGCACGTTAAGTAAGAGAGCTCTACTTTTTCAGACAGAACATCTTCCACCTGTATTACAGGGGTCAGAGTTATGTTCGAGGCTTTTATGTTGGGTGAACTACTAATAATATGGGGTGGTAATGTGTTATTAGACGAGCCGGTGCTATTTTCTAAATTAATGGTGTTCACACGAACACGCTTTTTAGAATTTTGAACCATCGTTATTAAAGATCAATTATTAGTAACCAATAAATGAATATAAACGAAAACACGTGCAAAAGCGTCACCTGATTTGAACGTACCGGGCATCAGTATCGTATATCAGTGAGTTACCTCTGCTCACCGACTCCCCTATGATCATATACGCAGATGACTTAAAAATTTGGAGAGAGCTGAAGAGCAACAGTGATACGTCCACCTTGCAAGACGACCTCAACAAACTGTCGGAGTGGTCTGTTGAATGGATGCTCCCGACCAATGTGGCAAAATGTGCAACCATGCGCATTGGACAAGCAAGCACGAGCTCATACGAACTAGAGGGAATAACACTTCCATCAGTTCAGACTCACTTGGACTTAGGTGTCATAGTTAGCCACGACTTAAAAACTACAGCACATTGTCGCGCCGTGGCTGCACGCAGTTTCAGGTCCTTATGGGCGATTCGCAGAGCCTTTACAAGAATTACCAAAGATATGTTCACCTCCTTATATACATCTCTGGTTAGGTCAAGACTGGAAAACTTCATTTAGGTCGCCAGTTCTTGTCTAAAAGGGGACTCACACATTCTAGAAAGTGTTCAAAGTAAGGCAACACGTATGGTTCACGGCATAGCTAACTTATCATACGAGGAAAGACTAGATAGTTTAAATCTCTTCTCACTGTCATACCGTAGGCAGAGAGGAGATTTAATCACAATGTTTAAAATTTTAAATAATGAATACGGACCTGACCTATTCTCTCTTTTCCTTCCCACCAGGTCGGAACACCTTAGAGGACATAGCAGGAAAGTTCAAAAGCCAAGGAGAAATCATATTGCTGTTGATTACTGGTTCTCACATCGAGTCATAAACTCTTGGAACCGACTCCCAGAAGAAGTGGTGTCTGCAACCTCAACTGATTCGTTCAACAAGGGTTTGGACAACCACAGAAATTTACTAGAAAGGGATTAACATAGGCTGCAAGCCTTCTATCCTCAACCAATAAATCTGAATCTGAAATCTGAATAATATAAAGTAATTGAACACCATCGCATGTTATGGCAAAAATTAACAAACTAAAGATATTCCATAGGGTTATTCCAATAAATCGAAGAAGGAACAGTGGGTTTTATCGCTGAAGTATTTTTTGTTTCTATTTATTAATGTTACGTTGTCATTGGATCAAGGCTATTGTGCATTTTTAAATGCCGATAGCCGTGTATTTGAGAGTAAAGCCATCTGCAGAGGTGTCACTGAAAAAATTTCTCCACTTTGGGGATAATCAGGTGACTAAATTACGTTTTGACTTTATTAAGCTCTATTTGAGTGGAAAACTTGCTTTAAAGGGTGCTGCAAACGGTGTTTTTAATATTATTCGATAACATTAGACGCACCATTGCACTAAATGCTGGAAATTCCTCACTGTAACATTAGTAATATCTTGGAATAAAGCAAGTCATCATCTCATTAATAGTGCCATTCAATTCTGAAATTAAGAAATTACAATATCTTTGTCTGAAGACATATGTCATAACTTTATAGTTATGATTTACTCCCAATGGTTGATTTCCGGCCAGTAAAAGTACACATCAGTGCCCCTAACATTTTTCAATGCGTTCGAAGTCTACGACAAATGTTCTGCAGCTCGCTCAAAGTCAGTAATTACTGAAAAACGCTGCATACTTTTAAATTTGACTGCTATCATTCCTAAGTATTTTAAGATTCCAGATTTATTGATTGAGGATAGAAGGCTTGCAGCCTATGTTAATCCCTTTCTAGTAGATTTCTGTGGTTGTCCAAACCCTTGTTGAACGAATCAGTTGAGGTTGCAGACACCACTTCTTCTGGGAGTCGGTTCCAAGAGTTTATGACTCGATGTGAGAACCAGTAATCAACAGCAATATGATTTCTCCTTGGCTTTTGAACTTTCCTGCTATGTCCTCTAAGGTGTTCCGACCTGGTGGGAAGGAAAAGAGAGAATAGGTCAGGTCCGTATTCATTATTTAAAATTTTAAACATTGTGATTAAATCTCCTCTCTGCCTACGGTATGACAGTGAGAAGAGATTTAAACTATCTAGTCTTTCCTCGTATGATAAGTTAGCTATGCCGTGAATCATACGTTTTGCCTGCAGAATGTACGTGATATAGGACTATTAAAGTTTCTCGATCCCTTAAGTTTGCATCAAACCCAGTCGGAGAACATACATGGGTGAAGTAGGGAGAATTATATAATCTAAATAGGCTGTTACATAGGCACATTTCGATAAACCTGAAATGTACGCTTTTCCTTACTTTCCTACTCACTTTTACCTCATTTTTCCATCTTATCCACTCACTCTACGCCTACTTCAAGCAAATAAACCGATTTTGCACACGTTACATATGTCATTTCCCTCACTTTCTGAATGCAGTTCTGCCAGCGCTTTCATTCACTTTATCCACGCTCACGAAAAAATTCTCCAACACAGACGCAAATAATATTTGGTATATAGTGCTCAGAATTAGGATATGATGATTGCCCCAAGACCATGATATCAGACGTATTCTCCCAAATTTGGCACAATGTTTCTGATTTCTTGTTGTTGCCATTATTTTTTCTTTAATCCCAGCCGCACTATTATTATTACCTATATTTATACAGAAACAAGTAGTGTTCTCCAGAATTACTATAGATTCGGTTATTTGTCGAAGATGAGTTCAGAACTCACTCGAGAGCTTAATTGGAATGCCATTTTTAGCCTTAAAAGTGCCGCTATTAATCAAATGAGACGAAATAGAGCTTCATATGGACTTTGTTTGACCTATTCAGAATCATGAAAGAGGACGCTCAACAATGAGTTTTCCAAGCTGTCTAGGTTCACCCTGAATAGCTTTCCCCACAGTAGCAGCTAAACTTTTATATGCATACGGAAGTGACACGGCTAGATGGCTTACCTTTCCCTTTAGAAATCAAAATTGGTCGATCATAAAACGATAAACAAAGGAAAACAGGACAACAAGTTTCTTTTTATTGCTTTAAACAATCTTATTTTTAGGACTTTGTTGGATACGTATCCATTCAACTGCAGCTTTAGGAACAACTCTATCTTTTTAAATGTTGCAGGTTTTGCCTTGTAAACAGCACTCATGTATCTTCTCTCAAACCAATTAGGGTAACCTATTTAGACCAATGCATTTTCAATTTATCCTAATTCATATTCTAAAGAATTTAACGGTACAGATCTTTCTTGATCTAGCCTATAGGGAAACATCTCTCCTGTCCAACTGAACGTCAACAAAGTGTAGTATACTATCATATTGTTCCGCACAAGTGAAAATAAGCGATGAACGTGCATCACTGAACTTCATATTATCTCAAAATAAGAGCCATCAGCCAATAGCTTAAATTGTTCATTCTGATTTCAGCAGTCTCCCATCAGTGAGATATGTCAATCTTTCTGGTTTTCAGTGCATCTTCCCCTGATTTCTTTTTTGTGATCTAAACTGAAGTCAATCATATCTCCTTAAACAAACACTGAATATTAGTCTGAATTGGTATTATTATTTCATCGGCGAAATATTAAAGTCTGACACTAAAAATTCAATCTGCAAAAGTTATCTGTATTCTCCTTCATTTTTTGTCTCCATACTTTATGCTTTCAATGTATTTCTCCTTAATGAATAGTCTTCATTTGCCCTCTTTGTAACTGAAACCTTCTCCTCTATTCAGGACTGTTGCAGAATAATATAACATATTACTTGCAAATTCTTGGCGGTAGCACACGCCACATTACTACTACTACCACACAGAAATAACAAAACAACGATTATTTATGATTCCATGATTTGCGTGAGGGCTTAGATACTTCTGCAACGTCTATTTCAAAGCGGGTGGTTATCTTAACGGACCACTTGCTAAATCTATGACTTAAATTCTTATCTACAATGCAGAAGAGAAGCCTTAGAAGCTGTGTCCCCATGATGGCTGCGAGTGATCAGAAAACAGTTCATAGGCTTTTTGATCCTTCCGAGTTCCGCAGCCTGTGTGCACCTTAGTTTTGGAAACAAGGTCTTCTAACTCATCCTTAATGGACCCAGGTATTTACCAGTACCGTTATGAGCATCTAACAATCGCATTCGGCCTTCCGCTTTTGCTGAAATAAAAATGACTTATATGACATGTTGTAAATGCACGACCTCGTTTTGACTGAAAAAGTGGAGTCTACCAAACGTCAGCCGCATCACGTCATTTATATATGCATATATATTATTCATTGCCTCTTTTTCCGTCTTTTTCGCTTTAAAGCAGAGTGTCGTCCAGATTGAAAATGATCTCCTGGGAACACCTTTATGTACAATTAATAATCAGCTGCAGACAGTGGATTATAAATTTGAAAAGATTTTCTATAATGCATCACAAGAAGAAATTTATCAGATTACAGCAAGTCGTTTAATAGTGGATGCATTAGCAGGAATAAATGGTAACAGAATATTTCTATTTGTGTGATAGATAAATTTATGAGCAAATGGGTTGGAATCTTGTTTCGCTTAATTCAGACAGCGTTAATGAGTTGTGGTTCAGTGGCAAAGTGACTGCCAGCCAAATGTTGACCGAAGTTCAATTTGCCATCCAATACACACCCCTAAAAGTCTCATGTGGTTGGTATTAAGGTCGGAAAATGGAGTGAAAAGGTTGAACATGATTCCAGCGAAACAACACAATCACGGCCAATGAAACTAAAAAGCAGAAATGTGGGAGGACCGTTATTTACTCAGAATGTAAAGAAATGAATCCCATTATGGGTAAAATTTGTTTTGATAAAGTCTCACAGTCTTATACAGTAACGCTACAGTTATAACATTACTGTATAACACTATGAGACTTTATCAAAACAAATTTTGTCCATAATGGGATTATACTGTACCACAGTGCACAAGTTTTTAACTTATGTAAAGAAATGAAAACACCTTGAGTCATACTGCTAACTGCCAAAGAATTGGTATGGGTTGCGGCCAGATAAGTAACGAATATGTTCTGATTAAATAAGAATATTGTAAATAAATAAATAAGTATTTTCTGAATGTGACGCAGAGACTACGTGATATATTCCTGTTCCACGCCCCTCCAGGCTATCACTTTGAACCGAATTCATAACTGCTCCTCACTGACTTTCTCTCTTTATATTATCTCCAACATGTCACACTCAGACCCGAATCACATCTGCTACTTCCCATTTGTGTTCCATTAGAAGGCCCCACGGGGGAAGTCACTTGAAAGATTCCTCATTCTATGTCTAAATGATCTCCATTTCATTCAGCATACTTTTTTGGTCTCATCATGGGTTGTTAGCTGATACCCTACCGCAGTAGTTCCTTGTTGGTTTTCATTTCTGTATAGTCACCTGATCTTCAGTATCAAGGCAGAGTAAGTCTGCAGTATCCAGTTGGAAGTATTTTCGGTTACGCGCCAAGTTCACTTCCTTTCCGTCTGCTCTTATAGATTCTTATGCTACATCTCATTTCTTCCTCAATCTGAGCAGCCTTGCTAACCGACCTTAAACATGGGGTGGAAATTAGACCCTCCAGACTTGCGTTTGTTTTCACTGAAAGAAGACAGGCTCGCTAGAAGGCAATCACCCGCGGGTGTCACCTACCCTCAAACTGAGAGGTCTTCTTAACTTTTAGGCAGGGGAAAAGTTTATTCTTTCTGTTCTTTGAAATTCCTGTGACAATTGTGTTTTTTTTTCACAAGATGGGGTTGCTAATCTTACTCACTCCTCCGCCCTCGCTCATTTTTCCAGGCTTAGAACGCGCTAGTAAACCAGATGAGGTTTTATTCGAATTATTCATTCACTATTAGTTGTTTTCTGCTATGCCCACTGAAGATTATTTGAAATGTATAAAATTCTACTTCCTTATAGGAACTATAATGTGTTATGGACAAACAGGAGCTGGTAAAACGTATACAATGAGTGGATTATCCCAGTTATATAATGATCGTGGAATTATACCCAGGGGGATTGCATATTTATTTGAAGAAATTAAAAACAGGTCCACTCTTTCAATTACTGTAAAGTAAGTAAATAGTTATATAAATGTTTTTGGTTGGATTTTGAATGGGGATTTGGATTAATTCTTAATATATATATATATATATCGTGTTATGGACATGGACAATATTAGTTAGGGAACCGCTGAAAAATAAAGTGCACAATGAACAGTTGTTTCCTCTTCTTAGATGGGATCTTTATGTAGTGTGTACTCATGACTCCACAGGGTAATGATTCCAGGGACGTACAATTTGTCAACATAGCCCGTCGATTATTTAGCTGTTGTGTTGCAATTCAACGACCCATCAGTTCTAACTTCTGTCAACTCGCGATACTTTGTTACAGCCGAAAATCAATACCTTTTATGAACAACCACTTCAGCTTGCTATGGTGGACCACCATATCACGATATCTCATTAGAAATTCAGCACATTGATCCTGTAATATGTACACAATTTTCCCTAGATCCAATAGTTCAAGCCCCATGCTATTTATCCGCCATAAATATGTCCACCATTCGTCTTCACACCACGGCCATCATAAAACGTCAGTCCTCACCATAGTGATTATTCTCTTTTATGTTTCTTATCCAATCTTCCTGTTTATTTCTGTCACTTTTACGTGTTTGATGAGTTCACAGTTGAAAATAAAATCTTATCCATAATGGAGTTCGCAGCCATCTTTTTAATGTAAATTATTTGTGAACATAATCACATTTAAACATCAAGCTGCAAAATAGGGAATATAATTTATGAAATAGCTGGCAAATTTGTTATTTAGTTAAAGGGTTTGAATTCTGACTGGAGAGGATTGAATAAATGATACACCAAATCCAATAAATGAAGTGTGATATGTAAGGTAACGCCGGAAATTCTTCATTGTACAAACAATTATAATACCAGTCAAAATAATTAGGGAGATTGTGCAAATAAAATTTGAAATAAATAAGGCCAAAGTAGAAAGTTGGGATTATAATAGTTTAGTACGGATGGATTAGGCCTTTGAAAGAAGAACAGATTAAACAGGACTCTGCCTTTTCTATTTCAATGGCCAAAACTTCTGCACTACAGATGAGTCAGACATGTAGTGATTTTGACGGTTAGTTTTTCACTTTAGAGAGTGATAACTTTCGAGGAAGAGATGTTGGGTGGATAAGATGACTACTGTCGACTAAATAACCGATTTTTCCGCTTCCACGTCTTCATGACCATCTAGGCTAATGTTCTTGGAACTTAATGAAAGAAATCTTCTTAGAACAACCAATATACCTAGGTTCAATGGAACAGGTAAAATTATGCATGTACGATTGTACAGTTTGATAGTAAATTCATTATAGGGAAAATGTCTGTCTGTCTGTCTGTTTTCGACATAGAACTTTGCACAAATGTGCGGAAGTTCAAGTCGCCACATTCCGTGTAGCACGCGAAGCAAGAGAAGAAAGTACAAGAAAAGCATAATAGAAACAGGGAAAATTCCCATCTAGACACTTTAAAAGTTAGAAACAATATTCAGCAAAGGATAGACTTGGCTTATATTTACTTGGATTTCAATGGTTTCAGCTATATGTAGAATACGTACCCGTGAGATAAAATTAAGATTAGCCTTGAGAAGACCATAGATAACTTTGAATGCCTACCTAATACATAAACTTCATGTTCAGTATCTAGCACATGTGAGCTAAAGCATGTCTACAAATAAGAACCGAGTCACTAAGATCTCTACATTACGGTTCTTGAGCATTTTTAACTCATAATATGCATCGATATAACACTAAGTTGGATATCACATAACTTATGAGAGATAATAATAAAGAATGTGTGAATTTCTATGTATAGGTTTCTTAAGGGGGCAAGGTCACAATATTGACTTAATCTGTTTCATTTCCACACACAGATCTGAGTGCTTTGATTAAATTGCTATGGCTTATGCTGTTTGCAGCACTCGATACCTAGAGATGTTTGACAGCTTGTTTGCCACCCAATAGAAATGATAGAATCGTTTGAACTAGGTTGTCTAATATCGTTCCTGGTACACCTTTATAAAAGCACACTGGTGGATGTTCCCAAGCACAAAGCTCTCTAAGTTCTCTAATTTATTATGTAAGCAAAATAATGCAGAATCTAATGGAGAAAAAAAAAGTTATAGAAGACAATGTTCTTTGTTCATGCTAATTATTCTTTGGAAGTTTATTGAGATAGAGAACTCTTTCCTTGTTTACTGCATTATTTTAATTAACTGTGAATATATATATATATGCCTTCCTTTCTGCTGATTATTTCAGATTATCATATTTTGAAATATACAATGAACAAATTATTGATCTGTTGAATGATATTTCAACGAATAAAACTGTGCGTAAACAATCACCGGATTTATTGCAAATAGCTGAATCTAATGATCAAGTTTATATCAAAGGATTGAAGTGTATCACTGTGAATAATCTAGAAGAAGCGTTGACTGCACTATTCGAGGTAACACATACATACACGTTAATATTATTCCGTAGAGTTTGGCAGCATGTTATCATTTCACTCTGATCACTGTTAGTCTTTTTAAGCTGTCTCCTCGATTTCAATCTACAAGCTTCCATTTCCACTTCACACGAACTCCATGTCATCTTTGAACCCACGCCTTGAGTGATGCCTTAGCGGGTGAGGTCATTCAACGATCTACTCAGCGTATCTTCAATTCGCTCATCTTTATTTATTGCTCGTGTAATTGGTTCTGGCTTGGTTCATTGTCACAATTCCTTGTTCCTTGTCTTTACTGACTAGGCATCTTATATTCACTTTCGAGACAACAAAGACAGGTGTTGATGAAAGTCTTCAATAGTCAGATGCAAGTGATTTTGGTGACGCTCCAAGACTATGAACTATACAGATACACTTTACTGATTTGACATCAGTGTTAGAAAACTGAATATTATTCCTTGTGTTGAGTGTAGGAGGAGATCTTCAGACTGATTTCATAGTGATGAAGCTCTGTCTTGTTTTTCCGATCCTGACCGGCTAGCCTTGGCATACTTATTCATGGCGCCTGTAGTTGAAATCATCCTATCTTGATAAGTGAAGGAGGCAACTTCCTTCAAATTTATCCCGCTGACCGTGATTGGTGCTTCTTCTTGTTGGTTAGGTATCTTCATCACCTATGTCTTCTGTATATTCACCTGAAGTCCTTCATTCGTTGACTACCTCTCCTGCTAAACCTGTTGGTCTTTGTCTGTATGTATTCGAATTTATGTGCCATTAGACATAAGTTACCTGCGAAATTAATATAATCTACAATCTTTCTGTCAGTTCAGTATATATATATATATATATATATATATATATATGGTTCTTTATTTATATTTTTATTCCTTTGTGTTCTGAGTGGAGCTTTGAGCTGTGAAGTTTCAGTGGAGGTGTTGTTTCCTTGACGGTGTAAACTTACTAGACTTACCCTCACCCCAACCAACTTTCCTTCTTTTTTGAGCTTACTATCAGCTACTAGTAACCCAGGCTGCTAGGTTTATATGAGTGCATCGGCTGCCGGGAATCAGATCCAGACCTCCAAAATGCTTGGCGCACAGTCTACCATTGAGTTAAAAATGGCTTGATAAATTGCAAAGCCACCTCAGAGGATTTAACTGAAAAGCAATATATTCCTTCTCTCAACTTGTTTATTTCCCTCATACAATATGTTGAACAATTCACTTTTATTATGCTGCTTAGTAATTGATCAGTCCACAAATTTTCAAGTGTTGTTTGATTTGCAGAGGGAGTTTATTTATGTTTCAAATAACACTATGAACTGACTGACATCATTTAATATATTTGGTTCCCTTCATAAGTTTCAATAAAGAAAGAAAGAAAGAAAGACCAGATTCTCAGTATAAAAAGATACCAATCTATTTCACAGGATCTCAGCAACTATACCAAATACTCTATATAAGGCAATCTAAAATGCATAGGTGCTCCGCTGATGTCATCTTTAATTGCGTTTATAAATTTACGTCCACTTGCGAGAGCAAGTACCTTAGAAGAACAGAAAGAAGTCCTTCTACCTGGTTTTCACAGCACATATCCCAAGAAACTTGTGTGCATTGTGCATACCGATCAATCCATCAAGATTTCTAAATCTTTCAAAATATTAGGCATACAAAGGACAGCAAATTTACTACGATTCGCCGAAGCAGCTGTAGTCAAGCATTTAAAACAAACTTATGCATATACAGAAAGAGAGTGTAATCAATCTCTCTCGCTCACTCCTTTGGTAACTACATTTTGATTACATTGATTACTCATCCACATAAGTGATTTCAACTCACTGAGCAAGTTTTCAATCCTTGAGCTCTATAACCATCTTGAGTTGCTAATGTGAAATTACAGGCTAACACTGTTTGTTTATTAGGCTTTTCTGTCTTCTCCTCTCACCTCCTTTTCTATTTTAAAAGCTTATAAAATGGTGGCAAATTAAACCAAAAACTTGCATTGCTTAAATTTCGGATGCTTTTTCTTTACTACTATTCAAACATTCAAGTATGTTATTTTCACTAATTATTTATAACTATACATGTCTGATTTCCCACAAACACTGGAAGATATGCAAGTGAAAAGTAACAACTTGGCAGAAGAAGCATCCAGAGAAGATAGGACACCATTCAAGTGAACATAGAGAAAACAGAAGTGACGATGAACATTCTTGGGCAACACCAACAGTAACAACAACAACAACAGACAACAATCAGCCAGCATAAATGGGAGGAACCTGAAAGAAACAACCTTCTATACCTACCTGGGAAGTATTGTTTCAACTACAGGCCAGCGGAACTGACGAGGATACCAAAGCCAGAATCGGAAAAGCAAGGCAAGCTTTCATTACTCTCAAATCTGTGTGGAGGTCAACATCACTCAGCATCAAAAATAAGATCCGGATTTTCAACTCCAATGTGAAGTCAGTCAGTGCTACTCACTATACGGATCAGAGACTTGGCCAGCGCGTCATAAAGAGCATCTCAAACAAACTTCAGACCTTCATTAACAGCTGTCTTCTTTCAATACCATTCAAGATCAGATGGCCAGAAAAAATCAGCAACAAGGTGGGATCTCTGGCAATGAGTGAACCAATCAGGAACCGATTGTGAAACAACAAATAGGCAGGAAGAAATGGAGATGGATTGGCTGGCCATACTCTGAGGAAACCATCAAGTGACATCACTAGACAAGCCATGGCTCGAGTGGAACCCGAAAGGGAAACGGCGAGTTGGTCGTCAGTGCAAGTGTGACTTGGAGGAGGTCATGTGAAGAGGAGATGAAAGCGTGTGGACAGACCTGGAGCGGGGTGAAAAAGTTGTCAGAAAACCGAAGGCAATGGAGGTGCGCAGCTGAAGCCCTATGTTCCTCTAGGAATTAAAGGAAATAATAATAATTTATAACTATTGTTATTCCAGGTACTGAATGATATCATGATATCATGTTTTACTGCAAATCTGATCTTTCTTCCTTTACTGACTGACATCAATTTGAGAACCAATTATTGAAAACTACCAGGGCGTACTGGACAGGTCTTTTGTCCTAGTGTGGGTCGAGGAGGGGGACGAAATACCTCGCCTTTAGGGTTATCAGGTAACCCAAATGATCATTCAACCAGTGTCCATAGATTCTATAATTCTTATACGATATATATATATATATATATATATATATATATATATATATATATATATATATATATATATATATACTATCACTACTAGCCACTATCTTCAACAAGTGTCTGTTCCACCACCTATGTTACTTCGTAGTTGCTTGGTTGCTTTATTTTTATTTCACTGACTTAGATTTCCTTTTCGTTTTATTTTTCATTTAGGGTGAGTTGAATCGGACAACTGCATCGCATACACTGAATCGTTCATCGTCCCGTTCACACGTTATACTAACAGTCTACCTAGAAATAGTCGATCCCATGGATAGCAGTGATAGATACACAAGATATAGCAAAATTCATTATGTGGATTTAGCTGGTTCAGAAAGGCTAAAAGGAGTTCAGGTTAGATTTTTCTTAAATATTTTTTTTAATTTGTCTTCATTTCTTTTCTTAGGAGGCTTCAAGAGCTTTTTGAAGTTTCACTAGTGGTGGTATTGTATTATATTCATACATTGGGTTTACTAGCCACATGTCTAATGACCTCTTTTTACCTTAGGCTTATCCCCCAACCACATCACTCTCTATCTTTAAGCATAGAGTGTTAGTTAAGACCAGCCTTGAAGCATAATCTCACGTGTAGTTGGATGAATGTCAATTATTTGCTCAATAGTGTCCTCAGAATTTCTATTGACAGTTCGTAATCATTGAGTTCTGATCGAAAATGGATGCTAGTGAATGACACTGGCCGGCAGTAGTGCTGTTTTACGAATTTAAACAGGTTAGGAGGACACATGGCTCACTAGATTCCAACTTTCAGGTTTTACAGTCAACAAATTCAAGTCCTAATCTTGAAGGTCCTGCTTTCGATCATTGGTATAGTTGCTAGTGTGAACTAATGAAGACTTTCAAACTAGGATGAAACAGATATCCAGTGCCCTCCTTGGTTTTGTATTGAATCTCTAACTTCGATTTGAGACGAAATCCATACTGAAATTATTCTAAAATTACAATCAACCAGTGACTTGAATATTCATTCATAAAACGAAAATTCCCATAGTGTGATTCATAAACTAATAGAAGGTAGACATGAAGAAAATTTCCCTGTCTTCGGTGAATCATTTTCAATATCCGAGAGATAAATTTACATGATCACTGAAATACTAGTCACTATTCCTGAAAAATGTATTATGCAGTATGATTTGTAGTCTAGAAGGGATTGTACAACTGGAGATTTAGAGGAAGAGAAGTTGGAATCGCGTAATAAGTGCAGAAAAATTACTCGATCAGCGTGAATATACAAAGTCAAGAAGAGTTAGTGGAAATACGATCAACATTTTTACATGTTATTCGTATGAGTAATGTCCTGTGGAGTCAATTACATTGACCGTAAACAGAGTCAGTGCTGCAAAATGTATTTTGGAACAAGGTCAAACTTGGTTACTCAGAGGAGAATGGAAGAATGCGAACAGATCTGTTGTCGAGCACTTTGTCAACCCTGGGGACATCGAGGAGTCCTGTATGTCTGCTTCATAATGATACACAGAATCCACCAATATCTCATGCGTGGACTTCGAGTACGCCACTTCTGCTTAACCGAACAAATGACTACTGGGGACTTAAAACCAGAACTCTACCTTCAAAAGCATTGCTCATACCCACCAGCATTACTATAACTGGAGTAAAACTTTTACTGTGATTTCATTCCAATATGCGGTTTGATATTTTAGCTCATTCTTATTATCATATAACAATCTTTAATATTGCTATTTGTTAATGAAAAATTTCCTCATACAGATTTTATATTAGAACTATCGAATTCGCACTAGTCTTTCTCCATTTTGTACATTTTGATTGACTTCGTCACACTTATCATGTAATTCCAACTTCTCTTCCTCTTAATCTCCAATTGTACAATCCCTTCTCGACTACAACTTACATTGCACACTGCGTTTTCTAGAGTGGTGACTAGTATTTTAGTGGTCGTGTAAATTCATTTGTCGAATATATAAATACAATGGTGCAGTAGCTTTTGAAAATGATTCATCGAAAAAAGAGAAAGTTTTCTTCTCTGATGCATCTTCACTTGTGTGTAGCTCATTGGTTTTGGCGCTCTACTTCCAATCAATGGGTCACGGGTCCTGCTCCACCTACCGAGGTTTCGACAGCTGTTAGGTGAGATCACTAACCCCCATTTTGATAGGAATGGTTCATTGGCGATTGCATTGGATTGTGCAAGTGATTGTTGAGTAACGCTCTTGTCTGCAGTTGTTGATAGTAATAAGTACTTTATTATAAACAGTAATATAGAATGGAATCTTCAGCGTCTTATTCATATCGCAACAATTCATCTCCCTTTACAAATAAATAAATACATAAAATACTAAAAAAAGTAATAAAATTGCAGAAACTGAAGTTAGTAGAAAAGTAATATATGTAGTAAAAATAATGCTAGCAATAAGCTGTTGTTCATTCACAGATTATAAAGTAGGTTTTAATAGGTCCTTACCTGATACTTGTCACCCTTCACAGAACACTCATGCTAAATATGGTTTCACTCAAAAAGATGCAAGCAGAAAGTTGCGAACAATAAATTATTATTATTATATTGTATCTTTAGTTCCTAGAGGAACATAGGGCTTCAGCTGCGCACCTCCATTGCCTTCGGTTTTCTGACAACTTTTTCACCCCGCTCCAGGTCTGTCCACACGCTTTCATCTCCTCTTCACATGACCTCCTCCAAGTCACACTTGCACTGACGACCAACTCGCCGTTTCCCTTTCGGGTTCCACTCGAGCATGGCTTGTCTAGTGATGTCACTTGATGGTTTCCTCAGCGTATGGCCAATCCATCTCCATTTCTTCCTGCCTATTTGTTGTTTCACAATCGGTTCCTGATTGGTTCACTCATTGCCAGAGATCCCACCTTGTTGCTGATTTTTTCTGGCCATCTGATCTTGAATGGTATTGAAAGAAGACAGCTGTTAATGAAGGTCTGAAGTTTGTTTGAGATGCTCTTTATGACGCGCTGGCCAAGTCTCTGATCCGTATAGTGAGTAGCACTGACTGACTTCACATTGGAGTTGAAAATCCGGATCTTATTTTTGATGCTGAGTGATGTTGACCTCCACACAGATTTGAGAGTAATGAAAGCTTGTCTTGCTTTTCCGATTCTGGCTTTGGTATCCTCGTCAGTTCCGCCTGTAGTTGAAACGATGCTTCCCAGGTAGGTAAAGAAGGTTGTTTCTTTCAGGTTCCTCCCATTTATGCTGGCTGATTGTTGTCTGTTGTTGTTGTTGTTGCTGTTGGTGTTGGCCAGGAATCTTCATCAACTCTGTTTTATCTATGTTCACTTGAAGTCCTATCTTTGATGCTTCTTCTGCCAACTTGTTACTTTTCACTTGCATATCTTCCAGGTTTGTGGGAAATCAGACATATATCATCGGCGAAATCCAGATCCTCCAAGTCTTTTGTGTCAGTCCATTTTATGCCTGTTCCCTCGTTGGTTGCCGTTGTCTGTCGCATTATCCAATCAATTGCAATCAGGAAGATCATTGGTGATAGTAGACAGCCTTGCCTCACTCCCGTCCTCACTTCGAAGGCTTCCGTAAGTTTCCCGTTGTGGATTACTTGGCATGCAGCATTGTCGTATAACTGTTGGATGAGATGTATAATTGTCGATGGGACCCCGTAGTAGCGAAGTAGTTGCCAAATGACCTCTCGATCGACGCTGTCGAAGGCCTTTTCAAAGTCGATGAAGTTGAGATAGAGAGGTGACTGCCATTCCAAGCTTTGTTCAATGATGATCCGTAGAGTGGCGATTTGATCAATACATGATTTGTTTCTCCTGAATCCGGCCTGTTCCGGACGAAGTTTTTCATCTAGGGCTTGTTTGATTCTCTCCAGGATGATGCGACTTAGTATCTTGCTTGGAATGGACAGAAGCATAATTCCACGCCAGTTTTTACATTGACTTAAGTCTCCTTTCTTTGGTAGTTTGAATAAGTATCCGTTCTTCCAATCCTCGGGTACTTTGCCCTCTTTCCACACCTTCTCCAGCAGTGGCGTCATCAAGTCCGCTGTTGTCTCTGGGTCTATTTTCAAAGCTTCTGCTGGGATTCCATCTGGTCCTGGTGTTTTCCCAGCTTTTAGCATCTTGATTGCATTCAGGACTTCTGATTTCGTCGGGGGGTCAGTGTTCACTGGTAGTTCTGCTTCCGTTGTTGGTATTGTTGGGCGCGTTGTAGGTGGCGGACGATTTAGAAGTCTTTTGAAGTGTTCAACCCAGTGCTTTCTCTGTTCCACCTCTTTGGTGATTGACTTTCCATTGTCGTCCTTTATTGGCTTAATCTGTGTCGAACGTTTGCCCGAAAGGTGCCTAGTTGTTTGGTAGAGTGTGGCGAGGTCTCCTTTGCCTGCAGCTTGTTCTGCTTCGTTTGCCATGGTTTCATAATATTTTCTTTTGTCTTCCCTGGCACTCTTCTTCACTCTTTTGTTCAGTGTATTGTAGCTTGCATTCAGCTCCTGTTTTTGTTGCTCGTCAGTGCACTGGATAATCTTTTGTTTCACTGTCCTTCTCTCTTCTATTAGTTTCCAAGTGTCCGTAGTGAGCCACTGTTTGTCCTGTCTCTTTTTTCTGCCTAGAATTTCTATGCAGGTTTGGCTCCACACCGTTTTCAAGTTGTTCCAGTGCTTTTCGACGCTGACCTTTTCGCTGGTGTTGATTTGTGTCTCGGCTTTGTCCTTTATGCTTGCAATGAAGATGTCCTTTGTAGCCTGGTCCTTCAGCTTTTGAGTGTTGAACTTGGCTTGTGGTCTATCTGCAGCTCCTGTTTCCCTGAAAGCTTTTAATTTGATTTGGATTGTCCCTTGTACGAGATAGTGTGCAAACAATAAAGAGGATGTTCAATATCAGAAAAAATGATATTTTTGGCCGCCAACAGCTTACAGACGACATTGTGTCACTCAGTTAGGTCAAAGATATACCACTGCTTACAGCTTCCAAAGTTCTATATAATATAGCACAGCTCTTTTTTGAGAAGCCCAGGGAAGAACAAGAAGGAAGAATAAAGAAGAATGGGTAGAATATATGAATTAATAAATTGTAAGGGAAGAGGTTGAGTCATGATACCAAAAAGACTCAATCTTTTTTGTGTTGTAAATCAGTAAAAAGCTGTGAGACAACCAAGAAAGATTAGGGGAGAAACTGATACCAAGATGGGGGAGTATTTGACTTACTTCCTACCGAAGTGCTGTCGATAGCATTCGAGAATCATGCGCTTGAATAAGTCCACTCAAGTCTTGTTCATTTCTGAAAATGTTCATATATCATAACAGTCTAATTCAGAAACAGCTGGAACATAGTACAACAACTTCAGGTACACAAGATTCAGTAAATAAAGAAGTGTAGAGCTTCCTATTAACAGTAATGTGCTGTTTGCTTTCACCATGTGACCCAGGACTCAGTGCGTGGTGAAGTTAGCTTGCCTATCGACCGAAGGCGTTTTAAGAAAAAAAAATCGAAAGCAACCGTGTTTAACTATCGCGCAGTACACTGGCAGCATATAAAGTGCTTCTACTTCAATTGTAGGCAAAGTGCTTGGGGGGTCACTCGAAAATTTTAATGGGAGTTTAAGAACAAACGAAAGAAGTTTATCCACAAATTTCTAAAAATCCAGCTGTGATGACGCATTCGTCTAAGCTTTAAATCTCATCCAGAAGATAACGATGATTTTCCTTTTCTTCCAAAGAGCAGGTACCATTAATGACTGAGTATATTGCAATTTTCGGTTACCAAGTGAATATTCAAATTATTATCACTATGTCTTTTTTTTTGTTTACAATTCGCTGTGGCACCTTTTCACTCATATTTCTGATAACTAATTGAGTAAATCTGCACTTTTTCTCACAGATTTAACACTTCTGATAGTTTCCTGTTTTGCTGTTCCTGGTTTTTTTTTTTGCACCAATTCAGACAACCGATAAACTTTTCAAGGAAGCAACCTACATCAATCGATCGTTAACATTTCTTGAACAGACTATTTTGGCCTTATCTGACCAGACAAGAGATTATATACCCTATAGACAGTCGAAATTAACACATTACTTGAAAAATAGTATTGGTGGACGTTGTCAAACTATTCTAATAGCAAATGTATGGAACAAATATGAGTATTTAAATGAAACAGTAAGTTCTAGATTGTTGTGTATGCATTATATACATCCTAAAGTCTACCATAATTATGCATAATTAGCTAATTAAGTACCTAGGAATTGAATTTACATCTACTGAGATGGTTATGACACGTTTTATTCATGCAGACTCATCGCCTTCCTTAAGAGGCAATGATACCTGGCATAGGATTCATTTGGAAAAGAGTTAGAGGTGGTTAAATGAAATCATGGCATCAGTTCATGAAGTTACCGAGTGTTAGTATGAGTCATACAGTGAGATGTAGACGACCTGGGGCTACAAACCATTGTGACCTGAGACTATAGACGCATTCAATCATGCGTCATGATTTCGCATGTCTAATAAACAGTCACATTTTTTCTCCTGCTTGTTGCAGTTATTTTAAATCTGATTTTCTCGCTTTTGTCCACCTCGTTTAGCTACATGAAGTGTGACAAGTAGAAGTGCGCTGTACCTCTGCTCAAAAGTTCTACTTTTAAACTCAGTCACAAGCCAGTGTGCACTGAAATCTGCCAACTGTAAACCGCCTATGACATTGCAGACACATGCTGGCAACTTACGGGTTCTCTACATATTACGGATAAGATTAGTTATTTTGATAAATCACACATTGTGTTTGTTATACAGTAATATTCACTGATGACGACCACGTTTCGAGTACAAACTATTGCTGTTCATAGTCATATCAAGGCACTCACTCACTTACACAACCTTCTTATTTCAGTTATATACATGAGTAAAAATTGACTTGACATATGAACAAAATCAAAAAAAAAAATACATGAGTGAAACAGAAAGGAAGATAAAGTACACATTCGGAAATAATATTATTTCATCATGAGCCGACATTGGTTATAGAGAACCACTGGAAAATCACCTAGGAGTACTGGACAGCTGTTTCGTCCTAGTACCTGGGACTATTCATCAGTACGCACACATCGCCAGGGTTCGAACCCAGGACCTTCTGGTTACAAGGCGAGCTCGTAGACCATTAAGCCACTGGGACTTGAAAGTACATTGAAAGATTTTGTTTTGACAAAAAATGAAAAAAAACAACGGCAACTAAAAGGGCCCAAGAAAATTGTTTGTGAAACAAGGGGTATAGATGGAAGAGAGTTTTTAAATGAACAACTAGAGTTTCTTTAAATATAAGAGATGAGACACAAGGAAGTGTAAAAAGATGCGGTAAGTAGATGATAAAAAACTGTTAAGCAAACAAGCAGTTAAGTGAAAATTAATTGGAAGGTCAGTAATGAGTCCAGTGTTCAGTGAACTGTGTAATCAGAAAACGACAAAAATTGTGACACAAAAAAGCACAAAAAAAAAAAGAAAACAGACTAAAGACGCCTATTTACCACACTAGGGTAATATAAGGGATTATTAAGTAATGCCTTGTTCCCTCCCTAATCAGCTGAAGCTGCGCGTATGACATTCAACTAATATAAACTCATCTGAATCTTAACAGACGACCACACAGAATGGACACTTCAAAGTGGTGTAATTTTCGACTGCCTTGTGTTCCCCCCATTACCTTCTGTTAATTTCAGTGATTATTCTTGTAGGCGTCTTTATCTCCGTTTTGCAAAACAATATTCATCACTGAAAATATTTCTGTTTACACACATCTCACATGTTCTATACATTTCATAGTTGTCGACGCTAAGATTTGCAAGTCGAGCCATGTCAATTCCATGTAAACCTGTTGTCAATCAATTCCGTGATCCCATGGTAAGTCTATTTTGTTTTTATTTTTTTTTCTATACCGAGTTGATTAATGAAGAGAACAAGACATCTAGTTCAGCATCAAGTCTCTTTTCGGAGACTTCATGCCCTCCTTTTTAACTGTACAATCGCATGTGCGTCGGTGGCACAGTGGTTAGGACTCTCACCGACCATGCACATGGTCCGGGGTTCGAGCCCACGCCGACGCACACCTGGTACCAATGGTCGGCCTGCAAAACTTGGGCTACCGATATCCACGCTGAAAATTCCATACTTGTACCAAAAATACAGTGTGGAATCAAGCTGTAAATCAAAAAAAAAATTTATATATATATATATATATATATATATAACATCTATTCCCCAAGATAGGATAATAACCGTAGTGATAAATTTGTCATTTTAATCAATACATAAGAGAAATTGATTGAGAGCATTATAGTTAATTAATAAGATAATTAACTTAATTATGAATGATATTCTTCAAGTGTTGGTTTGCAGGGATTCGATGGGTTTCAGGATTTCATTATGAACTGGAATTCATCGAACATTGGATTGCGTCCCAGTGGCTTAATGACCAAGCAAGCTCACCTTGTAACCAGAAGGTTCTGGGTTCAAACGTGTAGCGTGGATGCGTACTGATGAAGAGACCCAGGCACTAGGACGAAACAGTTGTCCAATGGTTCTCCAACTGATGTGTCGGTTCATGATAAAATCTTAATATAAACAAGTTGTAATCAAGATAAGTATAGAAACGAAACGTGAGAGTTACAAAAGTAATTTAAGAGTTATTAAAGGGTTGGAAAATGAAAACAAACAAAATCAGTTAGGTCAAAAAAAAGAATAACAAGGTTGCTACCATTGCGGTGGTGGTGGTGCGATAAAGACAGTGTTTTCCAACGGAATATTATTCTCACAATATATTACCACAGTTTCATTAAGCATTATCAACAAAATACGATATATTTATTTGAACATTCTGTTTAATGTTAGAGTCAGAATATTCATTCTCACAGTTTAATACTGCGTTAGCAACAGAATACTACATGTAAATGTATACTTGAACATTCTATTTGTTGTTAGAGTGAGAACACTTTTTCACACACTTTTTCAATACTGCATTAGCCAACAGAATACTATGTATATATTTGAACATTCTATTTCATGTTGTATCATGTGAACCGGAAATCACAATCTCAGTGATCGGTTAACGAATATGAACAGTACAGATATAAATAACTGTTTGACCATTTAAAAATGTACATTTGATTCCACGTTTTGCCTTCTACCGTTATACCATGATAGGAAAAAAAATACCAGGATTATACAAGCTCATCTTTTGTTATATCAAGGATTCGTCTCCAACTTGTTACAATCCTTACAACACAAAAAATATAAATTGCATTAAAGGTCTGAGCATACATTTTTCTCGTGATGACAAGATGTTATAAAATAACTGACTGGAACCGAGAGTAACATAAATGTGAAATAATTTAGGTTATTCACCTTTTTGGGCAGCGTACGTGTTGAATGGGCCAGTATGCTTGGCTCTTCAAAAACAGTTGTGAAATGATACATGTACTTAGAAATTTTTTTCAAGTGTTGGTTTGTAGGAATTTGATTGTTTACAGGATTTCATCATGAGCTGACATTGGTTAGAGAAACATTGGAAAACCTGAGAGTACTGGACAGCTGCTGTTTCGTCCTAGTTTGAGAATCATCGGCAGTACGCATCCACCACAAGGGTTCGAACCAAGGACCTTCTGGTTACAAGGCGAGCTCGTATACCATTAAGACACTGGGACCCGATCCAATGGCCACCTCATGAATTCTAACTTCTGCTAATGATGAAATCCTGTAACCAATCGAATCCCTACAAATCAACTCTTGAATATCAATGAGATGCTCACTGGCGACTTGGCCTATTCAGGTAGGTAGTTATCTGGGGTTCCAGTGAGAAGTCGTGACCAGTAGGGTGCAGCCGGTCGGGTATGAGGACAAATACTTGCCGAAGACATTAGCTAGGGGTCGCGCTATGTCGTCAATTGATAGTTGGAATTCGTGCACTGGCCATTGGATCGGGTCCCAGTGTCTTAATGGTATACGAGCTCGCCTTGTAACCAGAAGGTCCTTGGTTCGAACCCTGGTGGTGGGTGCGTACTGATGAAGATTACCAAACTAGGACGAAACAGCTGTCCAGTATTCCCAAAAAACTTTTGTTCCTAAGGTTTCTGCAGATCAGGAGAAGACTAAGCTTAGTCGTACTGAGAAGAATATATTCCTCTAAAGGATGGTGAGATTCTTCTCTTAGAGATACTGAAGTTTAAGTCTCCCTTTCAATAAGGGTCAATGAATATTTTCTCTTTTTGGTGCAGATGACGTTTCGTTTCTTTGAATTTTTGGTTTGATATTCTTTCCAATAAATATCAGTGGCTATCCGTTTGGGATTAGGAGTTTTTCACGAATTCCAATTCTTTGCTCAGAACATCGTAGCTGCACATGTGTAGGATGCGGAGTGGCAAGGGATTTAATTAAATAACTTTTTCGTTCAACAGACAGAAAACTTTAGAGACTTGTTAGCCAACCGTTTCATATGGGTCTCCGATGGACTAACCTCCTTTAAAGTTCAGTAGGCTCTGCTTGTCAGTTAGTTGATTTAAGTGAGAAATTTATTGGGTGGATGTTACTCAGTATTCTGGATTTTTAGGCGCACTAAGACAATTCTCTTCCTCGATGGACAGTGTGGTCCGATATGTAGTGGGATTTTTTTCATTCTCTGCTTTCTGAGTGGAATATAGAGGGCTTCAAGAATACGAAGTTAGCGGCGATATTCTCTTATTTTTTTTTTTTTACAGGATGCAATTTCTGACCGCATCCACTCCACCACCAAAACTAGACGAGGATGAGGAGTGTGTGTTGAGGTAGTTAAATCAAAAGCATAGCAAAAATCCATGAAGTATCTAACGCTGTTAGCTTGATTCCTATATAGGGGGAAGAGTAAATGGCTTATCTTATTAAGGGTGCTTGGAAGTCTAAAATAAACAAATAACTGGAATCGTTTGAAGGTATATTTGATACAAAGTCTAAAATGATGTCGGTGTATGCACATATTTTTTTATCAGCCATGTTCTAAAACAGTATTTCACCGTTAACATGTTTGTCTACTGGAGTAGAATTCTCTTATTTTTCCTATTTTTTTTATTTGCTTAATATCTACGTGCGACAACTTCATCTCTAATGTACTACTGTGCATAAGGTTCTACACGGATTCACAAGCGCTGGTTATACAATTAGTCTATCTGTTCGATAGTACATCTACAACAACCATCCAAATAAAATTATCCAGTTTTAGTTTGCTGTCATTTGACTGCTTTCAAAATTACATCACGAAATAACATATCAGTTATATAACCAAGCATTGAAAACCAAGGAGTAATATGAGGCTATTTCGTGTTAGTTCTGGAATCTTCAATAGGATGTATCCGTGAACTCAATCAAACTCCAAACAAAATGACACTTGAAAATTTATCAACTGCTAATATGAATGACTGACTACAGGATTGAGTTGCAGAAGTAGTACCAGCGTGAAATACAGACCAGTGGTATCCACCAGAAATGGATTGTGAGGAAAATAGCCAGATAAAAATGGATGGCATTGGAGTGGTTAATATCGCGAATTAATGGGTCTCTGGATTGTATTCCAGTGGCTGTGGATAGCCAACAGGCTCACCTTTTAGCCTGAAGACCGAGAGTGATCCCCGTTTGAGTCGTGTATGTAAGATTGCTGTTGTTGAAGACTCTCAGGCTGGAATGATGAAACAACTGTTCGAAATTTCCTGTTTTTCTTTACATGCTTTATGCTATTGCCAACTATATGCTACACTATGAAATCTACAACTCCAGCCCTTTCTTATTTCTATAGGTATTGTAATTATTTTTACAGCAGCACATTTAAGCGAACAGTGATATTGTGTTTCCAGTTACATCTCATTAGGCTTAACTCTAGTATGCTGACATAACTTTACAAATAAATATTCAAATATAAACACCAATCATGGTGTTTTGTCTATAGGATAATAAGATGGTGAATATAAATTGTGCGATATGTCATAATAGTGGTGGTGATAATAATAATAATAATAATAATAGTACTGACCATAATATTGATTCTATCAATAACAAAAACGAAAACATGAAACTAGGTTGATTACTCTTTTCATTTTTCCTATTTATTATTATAAATATTACTTTGTTCGGATACTACCATACTAATCTGAATAACCAACACTGCTCTGATCAAACCGATATAGCTGATTTTCTTTATTGATTATATAAAAGAAGGCTACTAGAATTCTTTTTAACTCATTTAATGGAGTTGGTGCTAAAGAGATATTGCCACACCGGATGATGAATGGTTTTCGAAGAAATAATAAAGCCTGGAGAAACCGGAAAAATTTACAGACTTTATGCGTTCTGTGTCGGTACAGAGCACTTTTGATCGATTCCGCAACCAAAAGCGTCGGTGGCTCAGTGGGTTAGGACTCTCGCCGACCACGCACATGGTCCGTGGTTCGAGCCCACGCCGATGCACACTTGATATCTATGGTCGGCCTGCAAAATTTTGGGCTACCGATATCGCATGCTGAAAATTCCATACTTGTACCAAAAATACAGTGTGGAATCAAGCTGTAGTCAAATATATTAAAAAAATAAAATAAAAAATAACAAATGTGTTCAGATGTAAGCAACAGTCATTACTGGCCTTTCAATGGAGAAAACGAAAGTCTTTAAGGTAATTCATCGCATTCTACTGAATATTTTCGATAGACTTCGTATACATCTACTGTATATAGAGAGCTGAGGTGATAAGCACTCGAAAAAACTATACATGCAAAAGAAGTTCATACAACTATTGTCCCTCCCTTAGCCAATTATGACCCAGACAACTGATGATGTCACCACCACTCCTTACTATTATTTTCAACCCCTCTTTTAACATGCCTTAATCTTACCACATCTCCATTAAAATATAATTTATATCCTGCCCCATTACAGTTTAGCATTACTTAAGTCGAACTATTTGTTTTTCTTAACCTTTATCGAGTATTACATCCAACTGAAGACATTTGTTAGTTTCATGTTGCTATTTTTCATCAGTATGCTTGTTATCACAAATCGTCTCTCTCTTTCATCTTTGTTATTGACAGAATCAATATTATGGTCAATATTACTATTATTATGGCCAATTGCACAATTTGTATGGACAGTATTATCATCCTATTGACAAATCACCATGATTGGTGTTTTTATTTCAATATTTATTTGTAAAGTTATGTAGGCATATTAGAGTTAAGCCTAATGACAATACTGATTGCTTAAATAATGCTGTTATAAATTTTGCTACAGGTGTTTTCAGTTATTTTCAGTTTGAACAATTTTTGATGTTATGTAAACTTGACATCTTTTCTTTATTTGATTCGACATAATTTTATCAGAATTCTAACAACCTGTTACGTAATGTTTGCTTTTACTAAGCTTATTGATTCTCAACTCAACTTTATCGCCTTACGTTTAAGCATGATAACAATCTTACATATTTCGTCTAAATTCACATTATCACTTCAAAATAAACCATATATAAGACCGCACAACTTGTTAATAATGTCCTTTAAAAGTCTTCCTACTTATTCCCTTTATCTAATTTTCTGTACACATATATACTACTTTGAACAGAAAAAGTAGTAAATTATTTACGAATGAATTAATTTGGATTGAGCAAAAAAATATATTCCTTTGCAGTTAGTTCATCAACATCAGCTATACAATCATACATAGTTTTTTTATATTAAAATTTCTACCAATCAAGTGGTTATATTAGTCAATCAGTTTTAGGTAGAGAAGGGTGGGAAATTAAGATGTTAAATATCATCAAAACAATTTATCAACTGATAAATCTTAAATAATAATAAATAATTTTTCCTTCATGTTCCCCAGTGGAAAATAGGGCTTCAAGCTAGCGGCTTGAAGTTTCTGCAGCAGTTTTTATTTTTACAGGTTGGGGTCGCTGGCCTCATGCCCAACCTTTCCTCTCTACCAGCATTATTTCTGACATAGCGAGGTAAAGGAGTGCGTCTGTGGCCGGGGATCGAACCACGGACCATGTACATGGTCGGCGAGCATCCTAACGGCTGTGCCACCGACCCACACACAGGGTCGGATTATATAATATGTATTAAGTTCTTAAAAACGATTTTCTCACACCCCTTTACTTTGTTATTTTATTTTGTTTATGGTTCTAGGCAATTCAATTAACTTGTTTGTATTTTATGCAATTCTACTTAGTCACACTGTTCTATTATTCTTCTTCACCATCGTCACTATTTTAAAAATTTCTCGGTTATGTAATACTTTTTTGTGTTAATCCCTATGAATTATCTTAGCTTGAGTTCCATAATTAATTATTTTCACCCCTCCTTCAAAACTCAGACTTTTTGTGACTAACATTTATCAGTTCATCAAAACAATTCATTAACTGATAAATGTTAGTCACAAAAAGTCTGATTTTGAAGGAGGGGTGAAAATAATTAATTATGGAACTCAAGCTAAGATAATTCATAGGGATTAACACAAAAAAGTATTACATAACCGAGAAATTTTTAAAATAGTGACGATGGTGAAGAAGAATAATAGAACAGTGTGACTAAGTAGAATTGCATAAAATACAAACAAGTTAATTGAATTGCCTAGAACCATAAACAAAATAAAATAACAAAGTAAAGGGGTGTGAGAAAATCGTTTTTAAGAACTTAATACATATTATATAATCCGCCATCTTAAAGGAAGGGGCTGCAAAAATTTATTTTCAACACACAGATTTAGCTTGTTCTGACAAATTTCGATTGCTTCTGTTGTGTGTAAAATTCATACCCCTAGAGTATGTAAAAGGTCGGCAAAATAAGATAAGTAACTTTAAGAGCTTTGTTAGCGTCAGCTCAATGTTCAGTATCAACGAGGTGAGCTAGTAGTGAGCTGCGTATGTCTTTATTCGGATCTTTGCCAAACCAACAAGAAGTTCGACGGTGAACTTGCCTGATCGTACATTCAATGTAACTAGCTACTCACGAGCAGTTAAAATGGTAAATACATATGGAATAGGAGAAACAGGGCAGTTTGTCTTTATTTTTTGAACTAAGGGAATATACAGCATAAATTAGCTGCTTTGAAAGTTGTTTTTGAAGGGCTTTTTCAAGTGTTGTGATAAGATCTCACTATTGACATCACTCGGGAACTGTGATTTTAGGAAGATTAATTTTTTGGGAACAGTGGGTACCTTTGACTTTTTGCTTTCTGAGTTCATGTGTTTGTTCACGAATTCAGTCTGATATCCGTTTCTAATTAGAAGATCACGAATATTACTGAGTTATACGCTAATTTGAACGAATAACTCCAGCCCGATAAAACCGACATCTAACCAAATTACGTTTGTATTATAGAGGAGTGGAGCTCAGGAAGTTAGTATATTTTCCAGTGGAAGTAGGTTTTCTATGCAAACGCCTGCACATTGTTCCGTCTGTTCGTTTAGTCATTAGGACGTCCAAAAAAAGATACAGTTTCTTTTTCCTATTCTTTAGTGAAGTTTATGCCAGTAAGAGCTTTATTGAATTTGTCCAATATGTGCTTAGTCTCACTTCCTTTCTTCACAACTATAAATGGATCAAAGACATATCGGCAATTAAAAATCAAGATTATGTATTATATCTTTAAGAGAGAATCATTGTGTAGTTTTGCCAAGAAAAAATCCTCTAGGATTGGACCTTGTGATGATACCATGGCAACACCATCTGATTACCACCTATACATTTCTTTATTGAACAGGAAGTTTACGTTCATTGTGTACACCATAGAAGAAGTTTCTTCAGAGAAGACACAGGAACTCCAATGTCAATACCTTTCTTTATCAGTTCACTATCTATGTTATCAAACTATTACCATTAAAGGCGGTTTGTAACAAATTAATTTGAAATAATTTATAACCCTAATAAATTACAATAGAGTCATGTTAGAAGACTGAGTTCGTATTTGACGAAAGTAGTGTGGTGTATCCTTAGCTCAGTGCATTTCTAGCAATCTGATCACACATTTACTTGTGGAATCAGTTTATACGAAAAATGAAAGGTTAATCAAAGTAAACAAAGTGATAAAGGATTTAAGAATAATTGATACTTAATTTTGGTAATATGATCAGACGAAGATCACTAAAGTAGGTTGAGAGTGATGATAAATTGCTTTTTTTTTGTACAAACAGACGCACACCAATTTTGCTTATGTGATGCCTAGTTTTACAGAAGGCTATCGCCTCACAGAATTTCAGAGGCCTCCTCCAATGGTTTTTATAGATAATCTTATGGGCTGCTTTTGATTTCAATAAGGTGTATTTCGCTCTTGATAGTCTAGCATCTGCGCGTATCGACAGCTTATAACATTATTAGTTAACTGAAAGCGTAAAATAATTCCTATACTTTTGTTATTCCCTTGGGCCTGGGGGGGGATAAAGGGCCTCAATAGCACATCCGCACTTTACCCTTCCCTCTACAGTCCTTTTCAGCTGGTTCCACGATTACCCTCTCCCATTTCCGTCTGACACTTGTGCTCGAATCTTCGTTTGCCAGTCGCGTTCCACTTGAGAATTGGTCAGGTGTGTGTGATGTCATTCGATTCTCCGCGGTGTCTCCTTGATCTATTTTCATTAATTTCTGCATATTTTTTGGGTGCTAGATTACCGATTAGTATGTTGACAATCCTTTCCGGCCATCAGCGTATGTGGTGAAGGCAGATGTTTATGGAAGTCTGTAGCTTTCAACCTCGGTTGGATATGTGGCTAGCCACCCAAACACAGAAAATCAATCCAATCGAAACCAAAACTTGAAAGCGCAAGAAAATTATAAAATTTCCTAAATTATGTGACTGATACTGTTGACTTAAAAGATTATTATGACCAATTAATTAAGAAACATGATGATCAAGTGCCCGTCTACTTGCAGATTTATCTGATTTCAAATTACTGTTCGTCGTGAACCGATTTCAGCAGAAGAGAAGCTGAAAAGCAGAGTGCTGTGGATATCCGTTTCGTTCTCGGCGCGGAATTATTACACAACTACAGATCAAACCCAAGATTTGGTGCCCATTTTGCAAATTTCTACGTTTTAGCTTACAGAGTCAGTGTCTGCATCCATGTTAAAAATGAAATGCAGTACTCCTCTTACTCTAAAGCTGGACAACTTAATTAATACACAGTGTAATTGTCTCCTGTTTCATTTTTAATTTTTGGCAGGCAATCATAAAGAATTTGGAAAATTCGAATAACGGTTTACTTCGAGAGTTACTTATGTATGATACATTAGTAAGTTTATTTGTCTGTATAGTACTAATGGTGGTATTTATAATAACAATAATAATAATAATAGATTCAGTGTAGATGACGTCACGAACCAATATCATCTGAACTTTCGTTGAAAACTGTGTCAATGGGAAGTAAATGCTCATCTGTCTCATTGGTTGGCGACAGAAGATCAAATTCATAGCCGCCTATTGAATTCCAGTCCAAGTGACTTAATAGTTGACAAGCTGATCTCGTAATCTGAAGGTTTGTAGTTCGATTATCGGTGGATTCGTGGGTATACACCATTGAAGAGTCCTAAACCAGGACGAAACATTCTCTAGTGTTCCTTGGTGTTGGTTACATTGACATTTTCTCTCAAATGAATGGTGAAGTGTGCTATTGATTGGTTGATGTGTGTAGTAGTAGTCTAAAACCATAGAAAGTAGTAAGAATAATAATAATAATAATTGATTTATTTTGGACAGTATGTTTATATACATGTCAGAGTGTTTTATTCACTCATCGTATAGAAACTTCAAGTGAAGTAGTATTCGACGTTATACTGTTCTACAGAATATTGTTCGATGTGATACATGCTTCAACCCATGACAGTTCTGTCATTTCAAAACTTACCTAATTTGTATACTGAAATCATGGGAATGCAAGTTGTTCTTCTTCAGGGAAATGAGTAAATGGTTATATCAAAGTGAAAACAAGTAAACTTCAGGAAATACTCTCCATGGAAAATTAAGCATCACAACGATTTGACTAGACCACCAACCATTTGGTGGTAATAGCAGTAGTAGCTTTAAAGATAGTATTAATAATAAATAGTAACAGAAAGTAGGTGCTCCAAAACACTGCCGAAAGATACTAACTGATTTCTTCTTGAAATAACCAATTTAGCAAATGCACGAGCTCAGGGAGAAATTGTTTCAGGCCAAATACACACAATCCATGTGACGTGTTTTTGAAGTTGTTGCTCTACATAGCCTAATCACTATTTTGTGGAAGAAACTATCACTCGGTGGATCCTATAGAGACATTAGGGGGACAAATAGACAGCGGCTGAGTGCATGTTGAGGGTTGGACTGTGCTGTTCATGATTGTCGACGATATGTGATTGGTTGTGATGTGATATTTGTGGTGACTAGAATGCACAAGTAATGTGTGTACAGCAGAGAATTCATTATTGCTGTTTTCGCTGTGGCGTCAGCCTTTTTCAGTGTAATTTAAAAGTGCGTTATAGAGGTGAGATTCCAATCAGCATCCTTAGACAGCTTGACCACTAAAACCCACATCCACTCAACTGATAACAATCATAACTATCACCAAAGTATAAAACACACTACACAACAAGCCAAAGTTTCACACTAACTACAAGTCAGTCTACTTATTCTGGACAATATGGAGAATAGCAACTGTATTATGCGGAAAGATTCGCATCAAACAAACCAAAATATACAAGGGCCTGTTTAATGTCGATAATATGTGCTATATAGATGAACTTTATTACAGCTTTATTTAAGTTGTCATTAAATCTCATGCATTTAACCAGAAGTAATCGTTATTCTCTGATGCACTGCTTTAGTTGACTGAATTGTTAGGAGCCAGCATAAAATAGTACATCATCCTTTCTCACGAATTGTATGATTTATCTTGTGATGTAGTTACTCTGTTCATCTATCATTTCCAACTCATGCTGTGATTTAGTGTGTCATCAATTCATCATTCTTTGTCTCATATTGATCACTGTTGGATCTCCAACTAATCAGGATAGATTTATCTAGCCAAAAAGTTCAATCCATTGTCACAGTTGTGAGCCGACTTTATTATGGTAAAGAAAATGTATACATATCATGTGTTGTTACCTAAACAATACAGTGTCTTACAGTTGAAGGCCAGCCTTTATCTTTTGATGTTTGTGTGGCTCAGTGAATAGGATGGTACAATGGACAAATAGGCATATTAGCATACCAGTCGATTGCATTACCGCAATAGTAATTAGCAGGCGCAGACATAAAAGGCCATACATGGGGGTTATTGCAGACCATAAGGATTTTTAATTATTCCGATGGTAGGATGAAACAATTGTCTAAAGCTGTTCTTTAACGTCTTTGTTTTCACATCTCATTCACATAGTCATCATTTTGAAGACGTTTATCCTTACTGTTTATTTCGAAAACGAATAGTGTAAGTTTAAATATCCTTCATGCCCAATTTTCTTATCAGCGCACATATGCATGTCCAAGTAATGCCAGTATGATGAGAAATGAGTTTTTCAATTGTGCAAAACGTTGTTGAAAAATGCATGAGTGTCAAAAAAAAACTTTGTAGTGTGTCTGCCATTGTATTTTGCATGGATGTTACGGTCATGTTACTCCGTTTATGGTGGCTAGTAGCAGTGTGATTCATGATTCACATTTCGTCCTATTTTAGATTAGTCAGCTGCATGCACCTGTATCCTTCCTATGCAGTGAGTGAGTGAGCGATAGTGCGTCCATATGAAACTTGAAATCAGTATCTATCGCATCAAGCGTCAAAGTCTTATCTATTAGACAACGATTTACAATAGGCGTTTGGTTTTGTTTTCTTCTAAACAACCCCCCGATTAATATAACTAGGACGATAATAGTACATTGTTCACAGACAGTCTAATCATTACATGTAAAGTTGTACATCTTCTTTTAACAAACTTTCATGATTTTAATAATATTCCTTTCCAATTTAGAATAATCGTGGACAAATAAATTATGAACCATTGACAGAAAAACAAAAACACAAATTACGCAATTCTGTTGTCAAATATTTAAACAATGAAGTCAAAGATTTAGAGGTAGGATATCTGCTTGTCAGATTAAGATTTTTTTATTTTTTGGTAACAGCTTGATTCCACATTGTATTTTTGGTACAAGTATGGAATTTTCAGCATGGATATCGGTAGCCCAATTTCGCAGGCCGACCATAGATATCTGGTGTGCGCCGGTTTGGGCTCGAACCCCGGACCATGTGCATGGTCGTCGAGAATCCTAACCACTGTGCCACCGACGGTCGCTTATCATTTATTCATTGTATTCTGAGTGCAACATGAGGCTTCACATAGTATTAGCTGCATTTTCTACTTGACTTTCTAATATATAAATCTCAATCAACTACAAGTCTGTCTGCAAATTTTTGTATTTCTACCTGAAAACATGATTTTCTCCGGATCACTGTTGGACTTTCCATTTGGCTTTCCTTCGAGGGGCTACCTGATGTATGATATCAATTAAATGTGTCTCTTCCGTATATATCGTGTTTATATCTATTCGCTTCTGAATGAATATTTACTGACTACTTCGCCACCAGAATGAGCTTTTTTGATGCGTATCATATCATAAGAAACGAGTTGGATAAAACTCACAACTTAATCAATAACGTCTTCAACGACATTAAATTCACAAGATAAGAACAATCTGAGGACAAAATCCCATTTTTCGACGTCTTAGACAAGCGAACAACCACAGGGGAATTAGAAACTTAAGTGTATAGAAAATCGACTCACACGGACCAAATGCTGAATTACAACAGCAACAATCCAATAACACACACAAAAGGAATTGCATACAAACACTATTCAAAATGGCAAGGACTCATTGCAGCACTCTCACCTTAATGAAAATTCAAGAAAGATATCTCATGAACGTCTTCCAAAAGAATAGATATCCAGGGAATTTCATCAAAAGACATATACCCCCAAGCCAACCTATCAAATCAAAGGCTTCCAAGGGAAGCACAAAGAAAATAGCCTTACCATGCATAAAGGACATCTGAGAAATCACTGCAAGACTCTTCAATCCTTAGGAATTGACGTCGCACACAAACCAACAAAATCACTTCACTCACCTCGATATCAACCAAAAGACTCAACAACGAAAGAAGATAAAACCAACACCATCTACAAAATAAATTGTAACAACTGCGAAAAACACTACATTGGCCAAAGTGGACGTCCCCTTCGTCTTTGTATCCATGAATATAAGCTAGCCGTCAAAAGACATGACATTCACTCCCTCATATCACTACATACAAACAATGACGGACATTAATTCGACTGGGACAACGTCCAAATATTAGACAGATGAAACACCAGAGGAATTTTTGAAGCCTGGTATTCTAGTGAATCAGCAATTAACAGGCACACTGACATAAGCAAAATTCACCAATCGATAAGAAGGAAATCTCACACACACAAAGGGTAAAACCTCAGGTCAAGGAAACAATCAATACCAATACAAGTGGCCTAGAGGGTGTGAAAACCCACAAAAACAACCAATCACATCCAATGTCACCAGGAAAGATGACTAATAAACTCGTGGAGAAATCTAAAGGTTCACTTCAAACTGAAGTATGCTTTGAAGATGTTGCCTAGTAGGGCGATGAAAGCTTCTCAAATAAACTATCCAGCTCAGAGAACACAACCACGTCAAGATGCCTATCATTTCTGCCTAGCCGATCATCTGATCTTCAGTAACCAGGCCTCATTGAAAGTCTGCAGAAGCCTGTTGGAAGTGCTTTTGATGATGCACCAAGTCTCTCTTTAACATTTATTTGTATAAACAACGATGTTGATAATGTTGGTATTTAGTACGTCATTCCTCTCCTGAATAAAATGTCACATGATGTTAGAGAACTAGACAATATTGACTTTCTTATTTTAAGGATAGACAATGGAGTTACTGAATGCACGAAAATCAATTCCTTTATGTCCAACACTTGGAAAGTGTTTCTGACTTAAGCTAGAGTATGTTTAAAAAGTACTCACTTACTATCTCCCTCTCAATAAGCAATGTTAGCTTTGAAATCAGATTAAGTTGGAATATATATATATATATATATATATATATATATATATATATATATATATATATATATATATATATATATATATATATATATATATATAGTATTTTTGATACGAGTATGGAATTTTCAGCATGTGATATCGTTAGCCCAAATTTAGCAGGCCGACCATTGGTTTCAAGTGTGCTTCAGCTGGGGATCGAACCCCAGACCATTTGCATGGTAGGTGAGCGTCCCAACCACTCTGCCACTTACGTGTGATCAGACTGAAACATAGCAGTACTCCATGAATTCATTGACTAACTGTCTGAGTTGGCTCTATGTGATTGACGAAGCTGGCGCGGAAGTCACCGGAATTATTTCCAACATTCTGCTAAAGACCTTTATCAAGGCTTTTATCATCCCCCTTCCTGCCTCAATATTGAATATAAGAAGGTTAATCGGGAGGGATAGGCAACACGTGATTCTGAAGACAAATCATCCACAAACCTGATGTCCAACCAAGAAATATACAGAACGAAATATAGATGGATGGATTGGATTTACCCTGAGGAGACATTGTAATGATATAACACTCCATGACAATTCCTCCTGTGAAGCAGGTTAGGTTTGAGCGGGTGATAAGAATATCATGTGAGGAAGAGGAATTTGAAGCTTGTGGGCAGTCGTTTATGGAGCTGAAACAGTGATACCAAGAAAGGGAGACGAATGAAGCGGTTCCTCTGAAATCCGACATTTCACACCGAATACAAGGAGTGAATGATGTTATTAATAGTAGTTCTTTTCTCCTTAACAGTTTCTCGAATTGAGATGACAAATTAAGATGATCCACACTGAAGGACTCATCCACATCTTTAGTGGCATTAAGACATCTATGATGTAAAATGACTTTGTATTTTTTAAATCAATCCAGAAACTATACTGACAAGAAACTAGTGACTTTTGAGTATGGATTTTCTTCTGTTCTCATGTAATGACTAAAATCAGAGTGCATGAATCGTTCAATTTCAACCCATTTGAGAAATAATAATCAGCCTGCCACCTAAACCGATAGTCTTGATTCGAATCATCAGTAGAATATTGCCTACATCCTACCGGAGGAGGGTATAGAAATCTAAAATGAAGCAGCTATTTCAGTATATCATTGTTTTCAAGATATCTCAAACCCCATTAAGTAAAAATATCTACCTTTAATGTAATAGCCACATTCAATCTTACTGGTTGAATGACCAACAGAGTGTTCAGGGTTTGATTCCCGCTGGGTTTCATGGGTGCTTACCGCCGAGAAGTCACGATTAAGAGCTAAACAGTTCGTCTAGAGTTCAATGGTAGACTATTCACCAGCCGTTAGCGAGGTCCAGGTTCGATTCCTGGCCAACGTACTCTTAAATCTCACCTGACTCAGTTGGGTTTAAGACTAAGAACCCAATTATTTACAGTCCTGTATGCCACTCGAAACTCATCTGTTATCCATTGCTGTGAAATGAAACAGGTAGCGACTTACAGCGACTGTTTCGGTAACCTCATGATGAGCCTTTCTTCCAATCAACAACTTTAAAGGCATTTGTGTTGAACACTTTATCTAATAAAAATTATATGCAAAATTTACGTTTTAGCATATCTTTTTGTGTTTTTTTAAAAACCTAGATCGTAAATCTTTATCAATTGAGGGAAACATTTGAAGTATTTAAACAAATAAATAAGTAAGTTAAAGTCATCTTGTTCTTTTTTCTAATGACTGACTACAAGTGTTTTCTGGTGTAAACAATTATTATTCCTTGAGTTCAGAGTAGAACACAGAGATTTAGTTGAAACTTATCATCCATCCCACCCACCGCCCTGCCCTCATTGAAATCACTTATTCAGCCGGTCTCATGACTGCCATCACAACCTTTTATTTCCTTCGCTCTACATGTCATCTCCAGCTGGACTTCTGTGTTCCACTCGGAACCTATGGGAAGTATAACAGTATGATAGTTATATTACACTCATCAAATGTTCATGACGTGTTACCAGTCGACTTGATAAAGAACAAATAATTGAACTATGAATAAGGAAAAAAATTATTATGCATAACCGTGAAACTACGTTCAATCCCTGGTGGTGGTGGTGGTGGGCGGATTGCTGAAGAGTGTCAAAGTGGGACGAAACGGTTGTCTAGTGCCTCTTCAGTCTTCAGTTATTCTCTCTTGCTCGAAAATTGTGTCCTGTTCGAGTTGAAGTATTTTTTTTTGAGGTATGTTATATGCATTTCTGCGTTTACAATAATTTATGTCATTTTTCAGGCTTTGCTAAACAGCAGATGTAAAGCCGTGAAATCGAAATTTCTAAACAATAAATAAATATCAGACTTTTTTTTTATCATACATATCTGCTTACTCTTATAGTTCAGTACTTCAAACTAATCAAGGGAAAAGGGTGTATAAAACGACTTTCTGTCTGAATATATGTCAGCACAAGAGTGTAAAAGTCCAAAAAAGTAGCAGCGCCATTACTACTCAAAGTGCGGTAGTTTAATAAAGAGGAATACATACCAACAAGGTCACCTTTTGCTTATTCTTCTTTCTTCGTCACGGCAGTAGTATTTGGATGCCACCCACGTCAACCAGGAGTGACAGTTTCTATTTCTCCTGTTTTGTAATTTTTATGTCGATTTCTCAAATCCCATCAACAAAAAGATAGATTGATTTAAGCAGCGGTTACGAAAATATTATTTTCAAAAGTTATATATATATATATATATATATATATATACATCATGAGTCTGATCTGCAGCAAAAACAAAAAACTAGAGGCACGATACTAACTAGTGTCCAATCGCCGTATCTAATACATTCCTAAAGGAGGTCACTCACCAGGGCCGATTATCTAGTGGTAACGTATGTGGCTGCAGCACTGGATGACACAGTTAAGAATCTCGGAAAAGGTATCAGCTCCTCCAAGCTTTCAGATACTCTTTGCTAACGAGTGGCAACTAGCATGAAACCCAGATGCAACGCTTCTTACTGCCTGCCTCCAACCATCTAATATCAACAATTTAGAGTGCATTGTGATGGTGAGCCGCCTAGAATGCTGGCGACACACCGCAAAATTGACTGACGATAGAATTCAATCTGCAATCTGCACCAAACAAAGCACTACACTCATTACACTAGTTAGTGTCTAAAACATATGCACGTATATATCGCCATTCTAGTTCTGTTCTTACAGCAGAATGTCTTGTCTCATAAGCGAAATTTCCTCGATTTCATCGCCGGGGAAAGGTTATGAAAGTGAAGTGTTGATGAATTCTAAACTAAGACGATACAAATGTCCAATATTCACTGATTTTCAACAGTTCCCTAACTGATTCCATTTCGTGACTTTACTCGTAGTTCATCATGAGCTGACATTGGTTAGAGAACCATTGGAATACCTGGGAGTACTGAACAACTGTTTCGTCCTAGTGCCTGGGACTCTTCAGCAGTACTCACCCACCGCCAGGGTTCGAACCCAGGACCTTCGGGTTACAAGGCAAGCTCGTAGTCCATTAAGCCACTGGGACCCGATCCAATGGCTAATGAGTTCCAACTTCTGCCAATTCACGACATAGAGAAACCGCTAGCCAATGTCTTCGGTGGCGAGTATTTGTCCTCGCACCCGACCTGCTGCACCCTACTGGTCACGACTTTCCACTGGAACCCCAGGTAACTACCTACATGAATAGGGCGAGTCGCCAGTGAGTAAACCAAGAATTGTAAAAGTGGATGCTTGAAAAAAATATGGAAATATTTCAATGTAGATTTCGTCACGATGACCCTGGCTGATCGACAGTTCAACCGGTTGCTTTTATTAGCACTTAAATTTCAGTCTTTTTTCCTCCAACTAATGTCAACTCTCTGGTGAAGTGAATACTGAAATATTTATAAATGATAGTAAGACTGATAAATAATTCAAAATCTCTCACCCAACAAAATCTTCAGGCTGGTGAATAAAAAAAAAACTGACCCAGCTTTATTAAGAAAGTCTGTTGGCAATATACAATTGTAGTTTCTCAGTCACTGAAGTGAGTGACATAGGGAGATGAATGCTTAGACAGTATACTGCCAAACTACGTTGCCTAATTCAGGCTATCACCCTTCATTTTTAAAAACATCGAAATTAAAAGGAATGGAAAGTAAGTTACTTACGTGTTCATAAATTATTCAGATTTGTTGTTTTAGTTTATGGTAGTGGTTGCCAGCAATAAATTCCAGGATACTTATTCCACCAAATTTAAGACTCTTCACCTGAATGTCACTGTAGTATACGTATACTTGCGTTCATTCTTGATCCCACCGCTAACGGCTACCATCTTTTATTTGGAACAAATGTTTTAAATATACAAGGAGACTCTTATGAGGCACACTTATTGTTTGAGGACTCGTGATACTACCACTAGGTCGGGGCTGAAGTAAGTGAAGAGGGATTCAAACCTCGAGCTCATTAGCTTTAAGGCAATGAGCTATATATGAGTTGTCAAGTACGTCCATACAGTTGAATTTCTTTTTCTGAAAATGTTTCCTTCAATCAGATCACTTCAGACTCAACTGGATGAAGCTAAAGAACAGCTAAGCAGACAAAGCGACTATACTGGCAGTCGGTCACCTACAACGGTAGCCGTTTCAACAATTTCCAGCGGTTCTCGTAGTGGTGGCACCGGAGGTGGCGGCGGCAGTGGAACTGGTCCAGCTTCAAAACTACCCAGTAGTAATTCAAATATTAGCGGATCGAAACGACAGACAAATATCACATTGAATAATGAACCAATCACTGGGAAATCTGTACAGAATGTTAATTTTAAAGAGAAATCTTTAGTGGTTAATCAAGTCGGTGAATTAGATCCTGCCTCAGGAAGAGGTTTTCTACCACCAATCGACCAATCCTCCATTGGGGATAAGACTACATCAAATCTTACATTAATGACAGATGGAGCATTTTTACAGGTAAACCTCCCACGCACATTTAGTAGAATATTTACTGATAAACGTGATCATATCATTTTTCCCAAGTCGCCCTTGAACTAGCCTTTGCTCGTCGCATTCAACGGTTCTACTACCGTGGGATGTCTTTTGGTGGTTTCTTCAGGTGGATATTCAGTCCATCTCGTTCCTTTTCTTGGAGCATACTTTTTTTCGTTCGTAACACGTTTTGTGGCTAGTTTATCGCCAGAAAAAGTCCTTTGTTGGGCATCTTTTATGACTGACCATTTGATCAGTAATATCCAGGCAGTAAAGGCGGCTATCGATGAAAGTGTGTGGTGGTGGTCTTCTGAAAATGATTTCGGTGTCATACGAACTCTCATACAGAAGAACTCAATTACTTGCTATTAGGGCATTGAAAATTTGGATCTTGTTCCTTATGTTATATGTTGTAGATTTCCATAGTGATTTCAAATCTGTCTTGCTATACCATCCTGACTTTAACATCGTCATCCACGGCGCGTATAGTTGTAAGGGGTTTGTTTATACAAGTTCAATAATAAGGGGTAGGGAAATTAATACATACAGGATGTAAAGTCATACCTAGAATTGTGCGACGTAATGCAATATTTATGAATTATTAGATTCCATAGCAGGCCAGGGTAGAAAAAGTGACTGGATCTGTTGCTCTTGGACACATAGATACAGCTTCTTTAAACGGGTTGCAGTGTGATCTCTGCTGTTTAAGGTGTTCCGTACCTAGAGGCTTTTGGCAATCTGTTCGCTGCCTGACAGAGGCCAGGAGAAGATTCTTTGTACTGGTAAGTTTCCCAGAGCAGGAAAAATCAACTTCCTAGTGGGCACTGGCCAATATAAAACTGACTGCACAAGATTAGTTGAAATGATCGATACAAGAAAAGGTAGCTAGCCTAGGTAATTTACTTTTCAGTTTAGGAATCATGACCAGTCTTGTGTAAAGTGTGACATGCAGTTAACCAGCATTAAAAGTTCTTTGAATCTATTCTCTGAAATTGTTGATTATTATTTCATTCGGTATGTCACGTTTGAACTTTTCTGGATTTCTACCTGTCTACATTTTTTTAGGCTAAACGCAGGGAAAAGAAACAATCTGTTGCAAATATTAAACTTGGCAGTATTACTAATACTACTACAATCAACGAACCGATGGATACAGAAGTTTCCAATTTATCCGGGTAAATCATTTAGGCATAACTGCATTACGCTATATGCAGCTGATTGATCGGTATAACAAGCTGGATACACCTCTGACATATCAGCCGGTAGTACTAGCTAGTCAACTAAATAGAAGCGATCTGAATACCATTCGGCCCTTTCGCTCATCATTAGTGTGCCCGGTTCGACTCAACTAAGCGGAAGGAATCAGTTAAACCAACCGAATACTTGGGTGAATTGGTGACACACTTAATTAAATATCCATTTTGCAAATTACTTTGCGATTATCATTTTCACAGATCGAGATGAAATTTCCTCTGGAAACCAAAATTTTTTCATATCATTCCTGATGTGATCTCCTTGATGGCGTAACTGGCAATCAAGAGACTGCGGTAAGATTTCACCTCGAATTGTGTATATAGCATATGGCTAAATCAACTTTCGAATTGCGGATTTGACTCAGTGTACTGACAGTTCACCTATATGGATAGTCGGAATTCGAGTGATTTGAACTGACTGGCCCCTCTTTGTTGAGTCGAACCGGATACACCGTTGATCAGCTTGACTGCAACCGAAGGTTAACAGTATCCGGTGTTTAGATTGCTTAGGCGATCTGGCAAGCAAGTACTGCTAATTGATTTGTGAGTGGTAGTATCCAACTACTCATGTCAATTAACCAGTAGTATATAACTAACTCAGTTTCATTTCTTTCCAACTGTTCAATAATGGTAGTAGCTTAGATACAAGTCTATATCGTATTATGATGGAACATAATTTAATTTTATTGAATTTGAGATTTTCCCGTCGATTGATTGGACCGAAGTGCTCGGTCTCAAGTTGACATATCGGCTTCTTGTGCAGATGCATCGACGATGTCTGGGCATTTAGTGAGTATTTAATTGGTGGGTGGTGACTAGCAGTGGAATGGAGGATGCGCATTTCGTCCTATTTGGGACTCTTTCTCTGGAAAATCATCACTGTCTGAGAAATGCACGTACATCCAGATGACGAGTCCCGAATAGGAGGAAATGCGCATCCTGAATTCCACTGCTAGTCACCATTCACCTAATAAAGATCTTGATTTATTTATGTCAATAAAGGTGAAAATTTCAGTTATTAACTTGTATGGATTTGATTAGTCTAAAGTATAATCAGGGATTGATAACAGTTGAAAAACTATTACAAACCAGCAGTGAGGTACTGAACCGCTATTTCGCTCTGCTTCTTTTTGACGCTTCAGCCATACGAACCCATAATGACACCAGGGACTGAACCCGTGACCTCCAGGTTATACAAGAGAAGCTCTTTGACCATCCAGCCACTGGGAAGGAATCCGATAACCGATGAATTCTGGCAATGGTCACTGCTGATTGGCCGCAGGACAAAGTTGCCTGAAATTTTAGTGAAAAGTTTAGACCAATGAGGTCTACCAGGTCGGTTGAGAGGAAAAATACTCTCCGATGACATTGGCTGGATGTTAGTATTCATGGTCTCATTTTCTGAATGGTCAACGAGTTCGCCCGTCACCTGGGTTCCATTCCCAGTGGTGCTTTGGACGCGTACAGATGAAGAGCCCCAGACTAGGAAGAAACAACTGTCCATTACACCCGTTTATTTCAGTGCTTCTCTAATTTATATCAATGCGTGATCAAGCATGTAACCAATCAAATGCTTGCAATCTAACTTTTTGAAATAATTATTAGGCAGATGTATACTTTCGTTTATTTCTCAGCAGCGTTTACAGTTTCATTACTAAGCACAAAGTACCTTTTTCTAAGCAATGTAGCCTCATAGATTTAAAGTTCAGATGATAAACGATCAAAGTCTTTTCAGGATAATAATAATAACGAGGATAAATTCATGCAGACTTTTACACAATCTAGGTAGTTAATTATTGTGATCTCGTAAGTAGACTGTTTATATTTTCAATGATAGATGTGCAAAATAACCCAGTGTCTTATAATGATTACATAGTAGAGATTTTGGCTTTATTATAATTCTATTAGCCATATTAGTTTACTTAATTTATCAAACCTTGTTTATAAAAGTTTACAATTCTCTCCTCTTATTTGAAATTTGCCCATTTTTCAGTCCACCGAATAAGTATGATGCGTTTGAAGAGTTTAAACGTGAACCTGGCTCTGAGTTGTTCAATATTTATCAAGGAAATAAAAGTAAGTGGTGTGTGTGTGTGGAAAATTTCTTTGAAAAACTTTACTTCCCCACACAGTGGTAGTAGTGGGTTGGTAGTTCAATGGTAGGATGGACGCTAACAGCTAGCGTGTGCTACTTTCGACTTCCAGCCAATGATGCATTCCTAAACTTTGCTTAACCTTTATTAATCTTGGTGTAAATAGAAGAATGTCTGGCGTAGTGCCAGCTGCTATTGAAACTTCAAAGCTCAAGCTTGAAACTCCCGCCTGATCCACTCGGAACACAAAAGCATGAAATTTAATAGGTAATAGTACTAATAGCTTTATTCTAAACAGTGTTTCGGTACAAATATGGAATCTTCACCATATAGTAGACTATTGCATTTAACTTTCTCGTTACAGGAATAATAAATTAAAACAGAGGCGTTTACATTGGTAATATTATCCAAGGAAGATTAAGATTGGGGGGGGGGGCAATAAAGAAGAGTGGGTAGAATACTGCAAGAGTTAACAAACTTGGAAAGTAGAAACTGGCTGGATGGATACCAGATTTTCATGATTTCATTCATTTTGAAAATCAGACAAAATATCTTCCTAGGCACTAGTGTGATGCGGGAAAGATCAGAAGAAATACATAGTTCAAGGTGTATTTAACATTTGGTCTAGTTTCAACTTCAGTGTCATCTATGATAGTGGGACCATACGAGCAAACCAGTTCACGTAAGTCGCAATTATGTCTGAAACTAAACTTAACAATCTCTCTGACATTTTGAGGGAGTTAGCCTAAGACTATTATAGATTAAGGATCATTGACTTACTTCAGACAAAAACGCTATTCACACTTTGCAATAGAAGTAACCGCCGGTGGGAAAACAGTCAGATCACCAGGATACTTTAAAAAAATTTTCTTCTTCAGTACGCCGCAAGTCATGTAAGAAGAAAGAAAAAAAACAAATCGAGAAGGAATAACATCTTGGGTAGGGAACACTGGCTAGAGTAATTAATACCGTGGACTACTCATTGTAAACACTGTACTGCTTCCTATTCGAAAAGTAATGATGCAACCATCTAGTCGTCCAGCACCTTGCTTATGTCGCAGCCTTTTTTTTAAGAAAATAGGCCTTGGTAAAGAGTACAAGGCAAATGTGTAATTTAAGAAGACACACCGAACATATCTGGCACCCTTGTCTAAATTGGAGACCATTCTATGGAATAAAACAACAGCGGCATCTCAAGTACATTCGATAAACAAAGGTTCAGGAATCAGCCTGCCTTTACCTCCCACCCTGTTGAGTGTATTAGTGGATGCATCGTAATTTCCGAGTATTTTTTTCTAAGATGGCTGTCTTCTCATTCTACATTGGTGTACATTCCTGTGTTTTGATAAATCAACTGATCCCTATCTGCCATCGAGGTGGATAACGGAATCCTTTTTAGTCGAATCTACACAGACACACACAAAAACGCGCAACAGCAATGACATAAAATCAAGCCCTAGAGGCTATGGAGAATACTGCTACCAGTTAAATCAAATAGTAATACTCGTGAAACTATATTCTAAATAAAATCCCAAAGTTATGTTAGTGAGCTCTGTAGTATAACTATGAACAGAAGTAAGTTGTTTTCCAAATGTCATCAGTAAATAAATAGTGCTGTATCACACTTAATGTTATATTATATACATGGAATTATTCTCTACCACATAGCGATCAAATCGTATTATTTTATGAAACCAAAAGACACACATAAAAACAAGTGTGATAATAACCACCACTACCTCGTGTAATACAGAGGACTTTCAGGTTAGATATATATTTTTTACGGCATTTTTATAGTCTCCTGCACTTCATGGTTTCTTTTCATTCTCTGAGTTCGAGTGGGGATAAAAGGCATGGGGCTTTTTGAAACTTCAGTAGGAACAGTGTTGTTTTCTATGGGGTGCTATAACCATCTCTACGCTCTCAGTCTTCTTGGGATTTAGGACCAGATAATAAACTAGGCAATGTTAGCTGCCACTAGAGTACAACCCACCGCAGAGAGTAAATCAGGCGTCCAACACCAGATTAGGATAACTGTTAATCATATATGTCCAGAACAAGTTCACTTTTAATAGTTTCAAAAAACTTTGGCTTTAGGTACGTGGTATTCATAGTTATAAAAGTCTTTCTGTATTTCTCAGTGAGTGGAAAATCAAGACGATAATTTTGTTTCTGCTGACGTTTCGCTGTGCATTGCTAACAGCTTCATCAAAGTATTGTTAAACCAGAATTTACAAAATCTCAGTTTACATGTAACAACTTAATCACCGTTCATTACTATCATTATTATCACGGGGTCATTTTCGCTTTGTCAAGTTGGCCAATTGCCAAAGATAACAAAACTATGTATGGATTGTTGGATTTGATAAGCGTATGAAATTATGAAAAAACAGCATATGTCTACATACTGAAATTGCTTAACACATTTCTGTTGATTTTATCACTTAGTGAGCAGGTGTGTTGAAGCCAGGTCAAATTCTGGTTAAGTTCATCATTCCTATTCAGATAATTCGGATTCCATTTGATATGGTGTGCTCCTGATGATATTTTAGACATTCCTTATGATTTTTGAAATTTTTCTGAATGATTCCAATATTGTAAAAATCAACTTCGTGACCTGATTCTACACCACGTAGACTGATGATGATTTTTCAAGCTTTTCTAATTCAACTTGATTCCTCGATGGTTGATCAGATGCTTTACGGTGTTCATTCCTTTTGATTTTGTTTCTGTCGATGTGTGTCCAGTTGACATCAAAGAGTATGCTCGTCTAGGATGACTTGAAATAAATCATACCTTTGCGCTGATGAGGTATGATGATCCGAAGTCTAAATATTTGTTGGAATGTTTTTTCTTCCTGAATTTAGGTATACTAAAATAACTGTTTTCCTTCCTCTTAAATCGGTAATCTAGAAAAGGTAACTCACTGAAATTTGTTTCTGTTTCCTAGGTAAACTAAATCCTGGAAGGAAGACAGATGGTCCAGTTTTTTTCCAGCTTTAGTACAATGAAAGTACCATCAGCCTATGGTAGCCATATTTAAGTTGCGAATGTATTTTTAAAAAATGTGGTATCTTCAAATGTATTCATGAAGAGATCACCGACTGTTGAAGAAACTGGTCGTCCCGTAGCTACACCATTTATCTGTCTACATAAATTTCCTTTGAATGTAAAATAATTATAAGATTTTTAGTGTGAAACAAAACCCATATCGTGAATTGAAAGTTATTCTGAACGACAAAATATTCTTTTCAATAAATTCTTCTCTACAGGTTCTAATAATTTTAAAGCATAATATTTGTTATCGTTACATTAATGACCAGTTATGAGGCGGATACTTATTAGGAATAACAGATTAATCATAATAGATTTGTAGAATGTGGAGTAATTGAATTGTAATCGAATTCAGACTAGCACGTTTGTCACACAAATACGACTGTTTATTCTATCACCTAATAACTAATCTCTTATTCTAAGTAAAAATGTCTACTCCATATAACTGGCAATTATTGTAAAAATAATTAGTTTTGAGACAGAATTTTAGGGTTCTAATTATTTCACTGATGTCCAGAGAAGACCTTTCTAATAGAGCTTTCTCTGATTCTAGTGTAATGATAAAAGACAGGAAACTTGATAAAGGAATGTCTATTTGGAATTCAATATCGTTAAAAAAGCCAGGCGTTTGGAATAAACACAGGAGTCAGACAAGGGTGCTTATTATCTATCACCAATGATATTCCTAATTGTGGTGGACTGGATTATGCGTCAGACTGTGGGAAACAAGAAGACAGGAATATCCTGGACCAACGTGAAGAACCTAGAAGACCTGGATTTCGCGGATGACTTATGTTTGATGTCACACACAATCGAAGACTTACAAGCGAAAACCGACCGACAAACTGGTCGAAGAAGCAGCCGACGAAGACAGGACTCCAAGTGAACACAGAGAAGACGGAGGTTATGAAAATAACCAGCCAACAACAGCAACATCTAGCGCCAATCACCATTAACGGAAGGGAATTGAAAGAGGTTACTTCATTCACTTATCTAGGGATTATTGTCTCAACTACAGGAAGTCGGAACGAACCAGGATGTCAAGTCGACCGAGAATCAGGAAGGCGAGAAACACATCATTCATCGACCTGAAACCAATCTGGAAACCAATCTTCGTCACTCAGCCAGCATCAACAACAAAATTCGCTCGGATTTTCAATACAAACGTCAAGTCAGTTAGTTGTTCTATACAGACCAGAAACTTGGCTGTTGGGTAACAAAGAATATTTCCAACAGCCTGTTGCAGACCTTTATCAACCAACAACTGTCTTCACTGGATCTATACTGAAGATCAGATGGCCGGGCCGGAAAGAATAATCACCAACAAGAAACTATGGGCACTAACAAACAAAACAAGAACCAATCACCAACCAACAAATATGCACGAGAAAGTGGAGATGGATTGGACACTCACTCGCTAAGGAGGCCACTGGTTGACATTGCACGCGCGTCAGGCTATTGCTCGAGTGGAACTCGGCAGAAAGGGAAGCGGCGAGTGGGATATCAGTGCAAGGGTGACATGGAGGAGATCGTGTGAAAAAGTATGTTGAGTTGAAAGAGTATGGACTAACATGGATGGATGCAGGTGAAAAGTACAGCAGAAGGAAGACAGAAGTGGCAAGTGGAGACGTGGAGTTGAAGCCTTATGTTCCACTAGGAACCCAAGCCAACAATAATATAGAGAAAAACGAAACTATGTACACCTTATATTCAAGTCATCATCTCCACAAATCTTCCGTGTTTTGAACTACTTCTGCCTTTCCTTCATATTTGTGTTTCTTTGTGTTACTTTCACGTCTCCTATGTTTCTCCACAACTCTGAATCGTTTTTACTTTCTCTGAAGTCGAATCTACCTCCTTGATATTTTATATTTTTATGCCGATGAACGTCTCTTTACATACTACAGATAAATCTTGTCAGTAGCAGACACGTCATGCTAGTAATTGATAAAACTATTAGTAACATTAAACAGCAAAACGTCAGTAAAAACAATATTGCCTTATTTTTCATTTATTGGGGAAATGCAAAAACGTTTATACAACTGAATAACTGTTAGTAATGGTTAACATACATGAATTGCTATTTGATTGGTAGACTATTTACTACCTGTCGCTTATCTGACAACTCCCAAACATTTGTATATTCTAAACCCTGAGATCACGTGAAAGTAATATTCTTTCAATTACTACACGAAGTAATCAGTTCCCACAGTTTGTAGGTAAATAGAAAGCAGACACCATTTACTATCCAAGTGTTTAGGTGACATATCGCCTAGTTCCTATTGTATTGGCTAATATAACAATAGTATTTATTGAGCGCTAGTGTAGAAAACTAACTATTCGACTAAATTCCAGTAAGAATCTGTCTGCATAGTATTCAATTTATTGGCTACACAAGATGATATCGATATCGTTTTCACAGTCATTATTTACCTGCCGACTGACTGCAGTTCAAATTGAGTAGAAGTTAACTTTCACTAGAAGCTATCCAATTTGATGATAAAACCAAACTGAATAGATGTAATGGCATTAGATTGATTCTACCTCTAAGATAAATGTAGGGGGACCTACGGAGTCCTGTAATACCAAAAGCACTTCAGACATACTACTACAGGCTTTCACCAGTGCAAGTATCATCGTGTGATCTTAAAGGAAGGTTAAGCAACAAGATACTGTGGATTGAATGTTTATTCTGAGGAAACCTTCAAGTGACATCCCACCCCAGACAGATGCAAAGGTTGAATCTGATTAGGTAACGACGAGTTAGACATGTTTCCAATGGTGACATGCAGAAGATCAAGTGAAGAAGGAATGGAAGCTTTTGGAGGATCATGGAGGAAGCTGTGAGTAATGCTAGGCGCATCCCAGTGGAATGGTGAAGTTCCACTGAAGTTCATTTTTCCACTCGGGATGGAAGCAATAAGTAGTAATCCAAGCTTCTTTTGTTCATATCACTGGTTTTCAACAAATCAAACGGTCTCTATCCCGTATATCACGCGCAGTCTAGTGAAAACTGGTCGACAGATTAAGTTTCAACATAGAACTTTTCACAAAAATGAACCATTTCAAGTTGCCACATTCCATCTAGTCGACAAAGATTGATAAAATAAGAGAAAGGAGATTCAAAAGAATAAAAATGAGAAACTTTCGAGAGAAAGAATAGTAACGTGGATTTTGTGGATTTGCCGGATCACCCACCGATTGGCTCCAGCCACAGGTTTTCACCATCCCGAGGACCTCAACCAGCAAGTCTACACCTTCCTGAGTGGCTTGCTTAAACCGACTGCCAAAGACTCTATGGATTCATCCCACGTTTCGGTTTAACCACATCTCCTAGCCATCTCCCTGGGTGTAGCTTCGGAACCTCATCAACTGACTTGCCCTCCTTACCTAGCACTCTTTGCGTAACCTCAAAGTGATGTGTCAGTTGATTTTAGGCTATAGGAAATCAGAAGGCCTGCAGTTAAGCTTTGTGCTCATTAGCACTTCTTGTGTCAGCAACCTATAAGGAAGTAATAACCTCACTCTCTACTCTAGACACACACAATTTTTATATGTGTGTCCATTACGTGATGACATATAAAGTATAAAATAGTGTAATGAAGAACAACGAATCGAAGAAGCATTTTCTTAATACTTCCTTCTCTCTCCCTCTGTCTTTTTTTTCGTCAAGGCTTACTAAAAGAAAAACATGAAGAAGGATTGAAAATTGCCCAAGATATTAATCACATTAAGTCTCAAATGACTGAATTACAGGAGCAGGTGAACAAATTGAAGACAGAAAGAGAATTGCAAGGTGAGTATTACTATTATTATTTATTATTATTATTATGGTTATTATGCAATCATTCATTCACTTATTCATTCTGAGTTCTGAATGAAACATTAGGCTTCACCGACACACCTTCATCCAGCTCAATCATCTGTGATCACTTTTTCAGTTGGCTCCACGATTGCCCATAGGCTGTAATTTCCTCTGCACTTTGTCACCATTCGGCTTTTTGTCTTGACCATCTGCTTGGTATAATTTACCTCTTGAATGTTGCCTCAACATATATCCAGTTCATCTCTGTTTCATTCTGCCTAGTTATTACCAAGGCAAGACAAACCTTTATTAGTCTGGAAATCTGTTGCACTTATATTCGGATTTTCAATACTAATGTCAAATCAGCCAGCAAAATCAAATCTAGTAGGCTACAGTAGATTTACTTCAAAATGCAACCTTCACTGGTCCAACAGTGAATATCAGACAGTCGTCCAGAGATGATTACCAATAGGGAACTCTGGTTTCCGACAAATATACGTGAAGAAATAGATATGGATCAGATATACCCTAAAGAAATCTTCAAATGAAATCAGAGGCCAGGTCATCGAATGAAACCCGAATACAGAGAGAGAGTTGGCTATATATAGCTGACGGTGATATAGAGGAGATCGCGTGATGAAGAGATGACAGCCTGATAACAATTGTAGAGACAGCTAGAAAGATATTTGGTGCTTGCGTCGCCGACAATTGACTGCCTTTTATGCCTCCATACTGATGGAAATGAGATGGCTGACAAACAGGATTCGAATTGTAGTTGGTTGGGCAATAGCTTGTTATTGGCTAATTCACCGCAATGCCTGGGATCCTTGATAATTAAAATAAAAAGCTCCACACCCGCAATACAGGTATACTTTCTTTTCCTCAAAAAGACTATTGAATGATTAAAATGGATAAAAGAGGTTTGAAATCTTGAAGTCAATCAGTAGGGAAAATCCAGTATTTACTTTAATGAATTACAAATTTTCAGAGAAGTCGCAAAGGCTAACCGATCATTGCTTACTAATTTTGAACGATCAGTTAGTAACGAGTTCTAAGTTTGAAATCATTCAAATTCTTGCAAACTTAACATTCTACGATTCCAGTTTATTTGATCAGTACTTAGTGAGACTACATCAGTAGTTCAACAGAGAAGTGCCTACCAGCCACTCATGTGGTCCACAGTTTGATTCTCTACTGAAGCATCGCAAACCAGCATGACAAACAACAGCTGTCCACTGCCCCTGGGTTCTCAGTGATTCTCTAACTGATGTTGTCACTTCATGATGAAATCTAAATTGAAAATGCATAAGTATTTGTTGATTCCTCTTTTTATCTGTCTCGTAAAGAAAAATTCGCTAATCCAGCAGTATAAGTCTTCCTTTCAACTACATTTTTAGAGTTAGAGAGATTATTAGGACTGTTAGTATCCTAAATGCAATCCAGTTTTTTTCATATGTTTCCAGGCATCACCCACCACTCGAGAGATCTTATCGCTTCTTATTACAGATTTCATTTCAGATAAAATAAATATTTTTCTAGAAATAATGAACCAATAAAAATTATAATAATAATAATAATAGTTATTATTATGACGATGGAGTTGGAATAACCATGTGGCAGTTAAGCCTCTCTCTACCTCAAACTCATCGACCTCAAAAAAGCCTTCACCAGAAAGCGTTGATCGAGAAGTAATTTGTAAACTGCTTCTACACTACAGCGCAAGGTACCCTAGTCTTTATCAAACTCGTTCAACAACAATTAAATGACACCGCCACGTATCAGGTGATCCACAATGGAGAACTCAATGGAGGCTTTAAAGTGCATACAGCAGTAAGACAAACTGGCCGCCTGTTATCACCTACAATGATATTCCTAATTATGGTGGACTGGATTACGCAGAAGACTGTGCATCGGAGTCAGAAGACAGAAATACATTGCACTCACCGATGACAAGACTCGAGAAGATCTGGATTTCGCCCATGGATGATGATATATGTCGAATGTCACACAAACTCGAATTGGAAAGGCAACATACACTTCCACAAGTCTGAAATCATAATTTGCAAATCTTCTGCACTCACTCACTCACTCACTTAGCAGAAACAACAAGATTCAGATTTTCAACACCAATTTGCACACCAATCAGTTCTTCTTTATATGTGTCTCAGAAACTTGACCAGCGCGTCAACAAAAAGCATTTCCAACAGGATACTGCAGGCTTTTATCAACATCTCTCTTCGCTGACTGCATAGTGAAGATCAGATGGCCAGTCCGAAGGAGTTAGCAACATGGGAACTCTGGCTAGCCAGGAATTAACCCATCAAGCGCCGACTGTTCAACAATTCATGTCAGCTCATGTTGAAATCCTGCAACCAAATATGTAGGAGAAAATGGGGAGATAGGTTGGGCATAAATTGAGAAAATCGTCGCATGACATCGCGCGCCAGAATATCGGTCAAGTGGGATTCGAATAGGGGAATGATGAGTGCGTCGTTGTTGCGAGGATGACATGGAGGAGATCGTGCAAAAACCAGATGAGAGATTGTCGGCGGTCGTAGATCTAGCTGAAAAGGACAGCAGAGAATACAAAAAAAGTGGAGATATGTTGTTGAAGATGCATGTTCTACTGGGAACGTAGTAGTGAAGTACAAATAATATAGTCTAACCAACAGAAGAGAATCTATAGACACAGATAGTTATTCGACCTTTTTATAAGCCCGGTTTATTTTCATTCCTTTGAGTTCTGAGTGGAATAAAAGGACCTCCCTTACGAGCTTAGAAGTTCCAGCAGACCTGATGTTTTTTGTGTGAGGTAGGGTTGCTAGTCTTGGGCCAAACTTTCTCTCCGCGTGGCTTACTACGGTCTCAGCGAGGTTTAGTAGTGCATCGGTAGCCGGAAATCGAACCTGGACCAAGTATGTGGTCTACCACCGACGTGTGTTGCGACTGCGACGTAGACCTTCAGTCAAACGATTACATCTCTCCCCTCTCAGCGTATTCAGTCACCTCCACTACTGCCCAGTTGCTTGTTTCCCTTCCCAGTATGACTTCGCTTCTTTGTTATCCTACGACTTATATCCAGCTCTACGCTTCACATTTGGGCTTCATTCAACGACGTGCTAGGATTATGATGCTACTTGAGTGTGTCTCAAACGTATGTTCAATGTATTCGCCCCTCTTTCCTTCTTGATATTTGTTGGGTGGGACGGCTGGTTCACCAGCGGAGCAGTTCGTTGATACTTATCCTGTCTAGATAGCCATCTAATATGTAGCATCAAGGCAGTGAAGCGGGCAGGTGCTGATGGGAGTTTGTAACGGTAATAAGACAAAAATAATTAAATCTTTAAAAGGTTTATCACCCATTCTCATCAGAAGAAAAGTATGTTAGTTACAGTTGGTCGGGAATGGTGACTGCATAGAAGCAATATATATTAAAAATAACCAACCTGAAGTGGAGAGTTTATCAGCTTTCACTGGTTAGAAAATAATGTTTCGAAAAATTTGTTTGAAGGCTATCCACTGAGATTTATTGGAATAAATATTAAGAGAAAAACCTCTTTCGAAGACGGTTGCTACACTTCTTCGTGAGAAAACTTTCTTCATGAATCTGCGGTTTAGATTTGACATTGAAGCAGAAATTTCTGAAAGCCGTCCTGCTAAAATCTTTTAATCTGTAATTGTACATTCCCAGTGGCATTACACAGCATATTTGCCAGTATGCATTAATCGATTTTATAAATTTATCTGGTTTTCAGTAGTGACTATGACTACAGGATGAAGTTGCCTGCAGTTCTTCTGGGAAGTTACGACTAGTAGGATTCAGTAAATCGGATACGAAGAAAAATACTCGCCGATAACCTTAACTAGCAGTGTTGAAATGACAGAAGTTAGAATTAGGGAGCCACTAGACTATTTTCATTGGAAATAGTAGTCATTTTCATAATTTTCATGTCTACGTAACTCTTACCTCGTCTACTTTGTTGGTCGGCACTATACACAGAAAAGAGGGAAGATTTGGTATGGGGCTGGCAACTTAACCGCATGCAGAATGAAACCATAGTAAAAATAAGCTTATCACTTTCTGAAATCGTGAAGATTCTTGTTCAGTTCGAAGATGAATAATGTTGCGGGATGAAAGATACCTATCAGGAAGCCAGTAAACAGTCTTTCGATGAAACCACGCAAGTAATCAAATAGGGTTAGATTCGGGAGGACATAGAACGCTTGCACTACATTCAAGTTTAGTCTGTCTAGTGAGACTTCTTCCTCAAGTTGACACTCGAAAAAAACGGATAAATTGATTGACTGAGAATACACTTTCAACGTATTACTCTGTACAAAAGTTCAACACTTCAAGATCCCACAGTTTATGGAACCATGCATAAAGATGGATAAGGGGAAAACAACCTCAAACTAACAAGAGGCAGAAAGGATAATTATGCAAAGAAGAATAAGAATTTAATTGATCTGTAAGATTGCAAAGAGCGAATGCATCTGCATTACTCAGAACGATATTCAATCATATCATCACTACTATTGGTGTCAATCCTTTAGGTTTTAATGTGTCTACACCCTCCCACCTATTTGGTGGTTGAGTCAAACTAACAGTCAAGGATGTGTGATGAATTGACGGCTAGATTTTTAACTAACCCACCCCTCTAACCCTTTTCTAACTTAATCCTATGTCAGCTAATTTCGCTCGTTGAAGAAGGCTGTGGTTGTTTGAAATACACAACACTTGTCGCAACTATTTCAATCGAAGCAAGTTTATAACCAGATCTATTGACTTCACATCCATCCTACTTACCTGTAACCATCTAATATCCCTCATCATTATTATACCATATAATAGGAGGAAAGACTATCACATTATATGTTTGCCTATTGAATCTCTGTTTGTGTATTCAGGATTAATTCAAACTGTTGAAAATCAATCAATCATAACAGAGGAAGAATATAATCTGTTGCAACAAATTCAAGCATTAAAAGAAAATTATAAAGCCAAATATCCTGAATGGTTAAATATCAAAGAAACTATTCAGTATTGTAAAGATATGCTTGATCAATGTCAAATACGTTTATTACAAGGTAATTTGTTTTAAAAACAAACAAACAAAAACTAAATAGTAAATTAAAGATGGCCAATAATAATAATAACAAATCTCAAAAGACTTAGAGATTAGTGAACAAAGAGACCTTCCTTTTAGATGACTCCCTATTTATCAGGTCGTACAACTTTATTTGCCCATAATAATTCGAGAATTATTGTTATAAAAACAGCAATAATTTCCCTTTCTAAATACCACTGAATCAACAATGACATCTCAGATTGCATTTTGGAAGTGATGATGATATGCATCAATAGAAGATTGGATAAATTAAGATACTAATTATAGAGTTTAACAAAGAAAGTCGATAGGGAGCTATTCTGCATCCGCAAACACGAAACCTTCGTATACATGTGAGTACAGTTCAAAGGCAGCATACATAGTGAAGTAATACAACAAGTAAGTTTGAGAAAATTCATCCAAAGAAATTTTAATCCTGGTACTTTATATATCATATTTTCCACATGAATAGTTGGGATTTCTTAAACTTATGGAAGAAGTACTTAGACTAGTCACCTCTTCCTGTATTTATCACTTCCACTGCTCTTCTGGAGTCAGTTACATTGGCCATTGCTCTAGGAAGTTCGTTTTTTGAGCTCGAGAACACTGACTAGTGTGGCCAAAAAACAAAAATGTGTACAAAAAACCATAGACAGTTCGATATTAGGTCACCTCGTTCAAGTGGGCCATGAAGCTAGCATTGAAAATTATCCTCATATCATCTGTTGGGTATCAAAGAAATTATCAACGGCCCGTTGGGTACTGAGCACTCAAAACTTCAGAGGCCAAAGTGTAGCAACAGAAGACAAGGGCCAGGCAACAGATCGTTTTATTATGAAAATCAACACGTATTTATACATATTTCACGTACATTATTATAGCTTATGCAAGTAGACAAGCGCAGTCATCTGATTGGTTGTTTATCAGAAGTTAGGCAGACAAACTCAGGCTTCTGATTGGTTGTTTCGGGATTCCTCGACAAATAGAGTTCTCTATCTGCGAATCATATTTTGCCACGTTAGCTTTGCTGTGATTGGTTGTTGAATCAGCCTTGCTCATATTTTCTCACGGCCTGCTCTCACCACACTCGTCCCCCCGTCAAATACGTGCGACTGAAGTCGGCTTGATCTACTTGGTGCAGGAGTCATCGTTGGCTTGTCTCGCTGTATCCATTTCTGGAGCTCGCTGACGTTCACGCGCCTCTCATTGTTCGTCATTGCGATTGTGTCCGCATAATCCCATCTCGAAGTGACCATATGTGGTCCTTCCCACTTTGGAAACTGTTCGCCTGACCCTGTCGAACATTCGTCGGTATTTCGGCTCACACTTTCATATGCTGCTTTCGCCCGACCTCCCAGCAGCGTCCCAAGTAGCAGCTCCATCGCTGACAGATCTTGAACGCCACTCAACTGCGCAGAAGCCTTGAAGTCTTGCTCGAAGTTCCATATGTCTCCATCAAAAACAGCAGGGCATAGGCTTTCCATTTGTCGGTAGGCAGCGACACCAAAATGTAACAACAGAAGACAAGGACCAGGCAACAGATCGTTTTATTATGAAAATCAACACGTATTTATACATATTTCACGTACATTATTATAGCTTATGCAAGTAGACAAGCGCAGTCATCTGATTGGTTGTTTATCAGAAGTTAGGCAGACAAACTCAGGCTTCTGATTGGTTGTTTCGGGATTCCTCGACAAATAGAGTTCTCTATCTGCGAATCATATTTTGCCACGTTAGCTTTGCTGTGATTGGTTGTTGAATCAGCCTTGCTCATATTTTCTCACGGCCTGCTCTCACCACAAAAGTAATTCGCTTAAGAACACTGGAGTTGTGTGTGCGAAAGAAACAAGTGCAGCCATAATTTCTACCCTGGCCTGCTGTAGAATCTATAAATCCAACATCTCTGTATTATTTTTCCATAATTTGTCTAATATGCAGTTAGGTGTTATATTGGTTCAGTATTAACACTTACTGACACTTTTGTACTCTAATCTGTCAGCGTTGTTGAGTCAGTTTTATTCCTCTTAATCATTATGTACATTTCACTGTAGGACCTGACGAAGAGGCAGTTATTCAAAAGGAAACTCTTCACCCTATTGATTTCTCAGTCTTTGAAATCAGATCAGCCTGAAATGAATCTTCTTTATTTCTTGATTTATGATCAACAAGTTGTTTCAAGGCAGTAAAGTGAAAAGACAGCTAAACAAAATAGACGGCATACACCCCCCCAGTCAGTGGGTGTTCGGTTCGAAATTCTGTTCGACCTAGAGAAATTTGACAGTCTAAATAGTGGATAGTATCACTACTTCTCACCTGTGATGTGTGATGCGTCGCCACCTGTGTTGAAGTTCAACTAGGTACTGAGTGAGACTTCATTTCAATTTGTTATGATTCTTTACTTGTAAGCCAAGTGGAAAATATGGCCTCAGCAGAATATCTCCATCGCTGTTGATCCAACTGGCTTCATAACTGCCCACAATCTGTAGTTTTCTCCTCCTCTCCCCCCCCACCCACCCACATATGACCTCCTCCATGATACACTTGAATCAGAGAGTCCAAATTATCACTTGTGCTATTCAGGTTCTACTCAACAGCCTGACTACTCTGTGATGTTACTTCACAGTGTCTCTCCTCAGCCAACGTTCAGTCAATGTCCATTTCCTTCTACGTAGTTATGGTTGGTTGACTGCAATACCAAAGTGTTCTTTACTGGTTATTCATTCTGCCTTACCATCTTATTTTTAGTATCAAAGGTGCAGGTATTACTACAAGCATAGAGAAGCTTTTTGGAAAAGCTTTTGTTGTGATGCACACACACACACCAAGTTTCTGAACCATAGAGAAGAAACACCAACTAAACTGATAGTAGTAGTGCTTAAGGAATACTCGGATCTTTTTCCTTGTACTATGTACTTTTGGTCTGCACACCAACGTTAGAGTAACCAACGTGTTTTCTGCTTTCCTGATGCTATCCTGACTGATTTTACCATCCTCATTTGTGTTGCCTAGACGAGTAAGTGAAAGAGGTGACTCCTCCTTAGATTTCTCTCATTGAAGATAGGGTATGTTGTTGGCAGTCGTGGATCTTCATCATCTTTGTCTTACCTATATTCACCGGAAGCCATTTATTCCCTCTCTCTTTCTTAAACGAATGTGTTTTTCTGTATGTTAATCTTTGAAATTTTGCTATATGAGACATAAATTAACCTAGATCTTCTAGGGCTTGCCTTATCAGTCCAGCGTATGCCTGTTTCCTTACTTCCCAAGGTCACCCGCGTGATCCAGTCAACCGCAATCACCCCTGCCTTTACTTCGAAGATAGTTTCATACACGTATAAATAAAAAAATCCAGTATATTATCCATGCACTTATCTTACCCATCTTTCTTAACAGCTGTCAATATATTTATATTGGATGTAGGCAGGATGAAAATATTCGACTAGTTACCAAAACAACAGGGCATGGATTACATCATTCTGTAAAAAATTTATTAATTATTATCATTATTATAATTTAATGTGGGCTGTATGCAAGTGAATTTTCTGCGTACCTCATAAGATAAACCTGTAAATGAGTTGGTTGTCACAGTTAATTATCCATCGCTAGTTATTTTAATCGACCAGTAGTAAGGAGATGCAATAAGAAGGACTGACAGTGAAGCGAACCAGTCAACCAAAATTTATTGTGCAACCAATAAATATACAGCGCGAAATAGAGATGGATAGATTAGAGATAGTACTGAGAAGAAGGCGACACTCAGTTGACACCACATACAAGAAAGACCTTTCGAGTAGAACACGAATTAGAACAACCAGTTGGACATGGAAAAGATCGTATGAGGTCTGGGGAATCTATTGAAAGTGATGGGAAAGAACCGAATGAAATGCTACTGAATTCATTATTTCTTTGAATTCCTACTGCAGGCTTCAGGCTTTAACATATCATTAGTAGCCATGATATTTTAATGCTGTAGATTGGCTAGCCTCTCGTGAAACTTTTCCTTTCTTCCTGGCTTACTACTGACTAAATGTGGCTTAGGAGTGCATTAGTCAGGAGTCGAACCCCGGATATTCTGTGTCTCTGGATAATAATAATAATAGTGATAACTGATTATTGGAGGAAAGGTTCTGCGCAGAAGCTCCTAGTGGATAACTCTTTTGTATTTCAAACAGAGGTTATTGGGTTCCAGTATCACTGAGGAGGAAATCACTCACTCACTCACTGCGAATACAGAGACATCCAGCTAAGCGGTCCCAAACTACGTGCTGCCACAAGGGGACAGTGTGTGACACCTAAATCCAAATGAGTCTGAAATGATGGGGATGTTATGCGCTCTAGTTCGTAGGAGCTGATGCTTGCATGTCCAATATGCATAGTTGAGCATTTCGCTACGTTGATCAGGAGCATCCATCCACATATTCGTAACTCAGCAGTATTGATCAGTTTAGCTGCAATGATTATCTGTGACACTTGCGGAAATGTACCTGTGATATCGCATACAATTATGTTTAGCCTTTTGTGTGTATGTATGTGGAGTGAAAAACTTAGCAGTAGTTTTAATCCTTTCTTCTCAACCAAATAACTAAAGACATTTGAATTAACTTCCTACTTCCCATTGACTGATTACAATCAATATCAGACGGAAATACTTGGTGTCTGTACTGAAAAATCGGTGCTTCTCGGGATAGATATTTTGACGATGTCTGATAGTGAACATGATTCGACACAGAGTTAATAGTAAGTGCTGGCAGCCAAACTCAAGAGGTGTGTTTCATTCTATCTGACACTCATCAACTGGCAAGTGATGCTGTTCCTACAGGGACTTACTTGGGTATTATGAAGCAACGGTGGCTGGCTGGGATCGACTCTCAGTGAGAAACACCATCTACCACATACGCACACTTATGCATTGAGGATTGGGTTAGATCCAGTATGGTGAACCCCAAAATCGGAAAAAACTTGGTCCCTCAAATAGTC